AACAGATTTAAAACCGGAAGATGATTTAGTAAAAAAACTATATCTCATGAACAATACATTTTAAAATACAAATTAGTTTGATCATTCTATTCATTCATCTTGTTTTATCTCAAATATTTAAAATAATTTATGATGAAATGTGGTTAAGCTCTCACGCGCGAGACTGATAGGTTCTGGGTTCAACTCTCTTGACGCGAAGTCGTGGATGCGCACTGCTGAGGAGCCCCATAATAGAACAAAACAGTCGTCCAGTGCTTCCAGGTTTTCCATAGTGGTCTGGCTTCAATTGACTCATGATTTCAACTATGAAAAAATTCACATTATAATAGATTATTATGCAGTTTAATACAAACCTTTATAATTCATAAATGTAGTACTCTAATAGAAACTATTATTGATTTAACATTTTGTCAAAGATGATTAAGTAATAAAACGATATTAAATATTATCAAGAAACGGTAAAACTGAAATATACCACCAAAACAAAAGCGAACATATAAGCTGTTTCAAAGTCACGGCATATTCAAGATGGCATATCGCCTATCGATGATAAAGAAAAAAATAGATGATTTCAAATAAAAACTGTTATGCATCGATTGTATTCAAAAATTAGTACGAATTGAACTTCACGATATACATTTAGGGTTCATGTTAGATTAAGACGAGAAATTTAGGAATTTAACATCATAGTTATAATCAGTGTTTGAGTTTAGGATTAGGATATAGACCTTAGGATTTGGGGTTTAGGGTAGGATTATACCTACAATTATTCATAAACTAACAGTGAGACATAATCTCAACCCTAAACTAAAACTCCACTTCTTACTAACGTCATATTCCCAAACTTTACATCTTGACAAGAAGGTCTAAATCACAATCCTAACGTTTTAAAAGAAGTAAAATTATTTCTAAACCCTGCACCTTAACCATAAGTCTTAATCCCAACATAATAAACAATTCACTACTTCGCTGTCTTCTGATTATACAGAACGGCTTAAAATTCCAAGGTCATACTGTGGTAAATTTCATTTTCCTACAAGAAACTCTATAGACAGATTAAACATGTTTATTTTCTTACTAATCGTTTATACGTAAAATAACATTAAATTAAAAGACTGCCCGTTAGATTGTGATGTGATGCCGACTGGAGATGTATTGAAATGTGGGATCCGATTGAAGGATCAGTTGTAGTAGTTTTATGCTTCTAACAATTTTTAATTATGGAATGGATGATGTAAATGTAAAATCTGAATTCAATTCCATTGAAATCTGATGCAGATATTTGAATAATATTATGCTCTTTGGAAGGTTTAAAGGATTATACATTCGATGTTGATTGGATGAACACTATTAAAAAACAGTTAGTTATTGATAAACTTACAACGAAAATGGATTTCAAAAGAAGAAATAATTTTCACCTCGACAACTAATCCTTTGTTGAAAATCCTATAAATATCCTTAAAAACAGACAGACTCATCGGCTAGGCAGAATAAAAAAATATATTTACAAAGACGGTTGTGAAGGTGAATGAAAATTATTTGTGAAGAAAAGTGGAATCACGAAGCGTATGTTTTTTACTATATTTTTATTTGTTTATTGAACCCCCATACATTTCAACACAGTGAAAATAATGTCCAGCCACCTAGACAACATGATCGATAGCTTATGATTAGCACTACAGAAGGAATTAAACACTGATCAATTAACAGTTAGTGACCAATATAAATATCTCACTCCAAAAGAAAGCCAATCACTACTACTATTGCTACTACTACTATTATTATTATTATTACTATTACTATTCATTATCTATTTAGTAATAATTGATAATAATAATAATAACCATACACTGTGACGATTATTACTTCATGTAAGTTATACAATCACGTATGATCAACTGATTTTTTTCTATTCCTGTCGACAAAGTAAGGAAGCAATTAATTCAAATAATCTGCATGTAATAATTAATGAGAAACAAAACTCACAAACCATTTATTTTTTTCAAGTTTAGTCGCATGAAGATAAAACAACGCAGAATGCATCATCCAAAACACATGACCTTAATTAACTCTTAAGCAAATGTAAATTATTTATTTTGTTGTATTGATTAAGTAGCTTCTGTAGTTCATTAGCTAGATAACTTGAATTGAAGTTAATCTGAAGTTTTTATATTCAACGTAAAACTCTATAAACAGTATTCATTAAACAATAGGTTAGCATGAACAAGTATGAAGTATCAACCATGTCAAACTGTTGGTAGTATTGTGTTTTCTGAAGTGAATGGATTCATTCTGAAGTATTCATTGTTGTTTTGGATAACATTATCAGGGTCTACTTCTGTGTAGAACTCTATGTGAATTAATATTTACTTCAGCTACAAGTTTTTTGTACCATTATAAATTAATCTTCTGGTAGAAAAAAAATTAGTGTTTGACTTTCAGATAATCCATGAGTCATGAATTTAACTTCGAAACAGTTTTTACTAGACAATTCGGAATCTCAAAACAACCTGTTCGACAACTAACTGATAAAGATTATTATTGAAATATTTCAACAAATCAAAGCTCTATGCACTCTTTGATCCATTTAACTAAGGTGATAGAAATAAGAGATCAAATATGAAATTGATTGGAATCTTTAACAGCACAACTCTATCCATACAGATTGACCACTGTTGGGTTAACAAAGAAAATCAGAGGGCACTCGACATCTGTTTTGTCTGAGTGTTTGCAGTGAGAACTGAGGACCCAGTCAGTGGTAGGACCAACGACCTTCGTGTTTCTAAGAGAACGTTCAGTGAAACTATAATTAGCGGATGACCTTTGGCGATGCTAAAGTGACTTTGAGAATGTCCACCTACTAACTAGAACCAAATGAGAATTATAAACCTGTGTGAAGAATTAGAACTACGATTTATAATTGATGACTAGAGTGAGGTTTTTCATTACGAACTGACATCAGTTATAATGCCAAAACCCTATTAAGTCAAATTTGTGAATGAATTTCACGTCAAAATCCAAGACCTATTGTCTTATATCTGATTTGCGTAGATTCAACAGGAAGGTCAAAAGATCATAGAAATTGTTCATTAACTATCTCTTAAACCAAATTGTTATAGGGAACTGATGAGTAAAGAAACGTACTTTAACTAATTATGCCTTGAATTGTTGAATGCTATTTAAGGCTATAAAAATTGAAATATAAGATTCTTTAAGAATAAATAAAGATTATGGCTTTGTGACTAACATGAATTCTTTTTCCGTGACATTATGGTCAATAATAATAAATTCGAATCATAATCATAACATATTAAATAGATCACCAGTTATATCTAATCTCTCAGCCACACTGTTCACTGATAATATCATCAGGGAATCGGCTAGTTTAACAGATTATTTGCTCGATTAGACAAAACTCATGAATCATTACAGTGAACATACCGACTGGCTTTAGACAATCATTCATAAACCAAGAAGCAATGGACAGCTGTTTTGTCTTAGTACTGGATTCTAGAGCAGCTTGTTTCCCCAACTCCATCACGGATCGAAACATAAGCCTTCAAGCCTTGCGATTAGTGCTTAATATTTGGACCACTGACTTGGTCTTACTTTGCAAGCTCAACTTCCAGCAAACTATAATATTGAACAACCATCATTAAATGTTCTTAGTGATTAACTTTCTCACGTCTGGTATGGTTGAACTCCACCGGTCACACCATATCTCATGGCATATGTGCATAGACTGGTATGATGACTAAAACCGTTGGTTAAAATATTGGTTTTCGACTATTTAGAAAATCTTTAAAATTTATTGATATAACTACTTGAGGTGTAATAATTCAACTTTGTTAAACTGAGATTAAGGAAAATACTTGAGTTGATAGCATTATGAACCAGTGTAAGCAGAATTAACTAAATCGTGTTTATAACATCCTGATGAACTGATTGACTTCACTTAAAATTATCTTGATTTATGATAACAGTTTTGGTACAGAAACAAAAAGCACATCAAGAAATTCATTGATAAACAGATACATTCATATAATTACATAATGTTTATGTCATTCAAGTTATTGATAAATATCTTCCATTTTCTAACATTTACACACAAAGTCAATTTATTGATGTTATCACATTATCATCTTCGTTAATAACACTGAAATTAGTTACTTAGCAATAGGTTTATCTATTATCACAACTCCAGAAATTATTTTCATTGTTATATAATGGAAAGTAACCTGTTTATTCATATGGTCCTGTAGATTATCAGTCATAGTTCAGAATTAAGACTCCGGTGCAGTCGTGGATGTATATTGTTGTACAGCCCCATACTGAGAAGAAATAACTGTTCATTATTTTACTTACTTTTCAATGATTGGCTAACTAAAGTTAGTATGTGGCGTGAAAATGTAAATCCAAGAGTTTTCACAGCATCCTCTAGTAACGTTTATAACCAGCCTTCATTAATCATTTATGATAAGGCAAAATTTAAAACGTAAATTCAAGTCAGTATAACAACCTATCAATATAAAGTGTTTGTTCACATAGTAAGTAATTGAATTATTGGTGTTAAAGATTGCCCAGTTTAATTTGTACAAATCTGACTGTAAGCAAAAGTAGTGTATTCATATATCATTTTTATCTATTTTGTAGGTCAAGTAAATTAATATCAATAATTTTGCTTTTGTTTTTGCATTTTGGGTCTCCATTACCATGCACAAGCCAGTTGAACATATTCAGCAAAAATTGGTAGATAGAAGAATTTATCGAAGAAGTGTTTTATCATCTGATCCTTGGTTCCTAGTATATACTACTAATCAGGCTGTGATGCTGTCACCAGGGCCAAGTAACTCAAAATCACAATGAATATCGTTTAATACTAAGTAGTTAGAAGCGTCTATAACAAACAATCGATTCACGCTTAAAAATAAAATCGATAGGCCATGGTAAAACTCATAAATTTCAACATGTCCTCTGTTTTCCTTTTTTTCAAATTACAGTAAACTAAGAACACAAGCAATACAACCTAATGCATCCATTAATGATCCAGGACCTACACCACAAGAATTAATCAATGAATTACGTTGGTCAGGTAGAAGCAATGAAGATTATTTATTGAATTTAAAAGCTTCTATAATGGCTGAAAGTACACAACCTGTTAAGTAAGCCTTAGAAAAAAAAGTGGTGATCTCTCCTGACGATTTTCAATTTGCATATTTCTAACGATTTTGGAGTTAAAATAGAGCTTGTAAGCTAGGTGACTGGAATCTTTCATTTCAAAGACACACTACTTACCAAGCTTTCTTCATATAGTTAAATAACAATTCGGTATTTCGTGATATCTTGGTCGACGTGCATTATTTTGCTGGTAATTAAAACCTCTAAACTGTATACTTGATTTCTCTGCCTGGCGAAATATTTAGGCTTTGTATTTTAAAACTATGAAACTAATTTAGTATAACACACAAAATGCACTCACTTTTGTAGCAAGCACGTGACCTATCCTGACACTAGTAAATCCAAATGAAAACGGCAGAACGGTTGGTGGATTTTCCTTTATACACATTCCTTGAAGAGATATGCAGAGAATATATTAGAATTCATGCATTAAGTGTGTTATGCGGTTTGAGAATGAGAGAAAATTCTCACTTTGGTAGATCCAGATTACTGGTTGAAATTGTTATGCAACGTCGTTCAAAAACATGTCATAATAACGAAGATGCATTTACTACTTTTATTCCTCTCGATCTTGAGCAATAGTATTTCTTTATATATACCTTTTCATTTCCTTCTACTTGAACCATACTCCCAATGTTCAGTCGATTTCATTATCATTTTCCCCATGATTATCTCAACTCCTTTACTTCTCCTCTTTTTAGTTTCATCTTATCGGATTTAATTCATCCTCAGTCCATGACATAACATTCCAATAACAAGTAACCAACTAAACGTAACCGATACTAAAAATCTCTGTCATAATTTCGTTTTCATTCATAAAATAGAGTATGTGCAATATTATGTCATAAATTCTAATGTAATAAATTATTTTCATAAGTGTAACCTTCAAAGCTGAAATCATGAGTCAATTGATGCTAGACCACCATCGAAAACCTGGAAACACTGGACGGCCGTTTCGTCCTATTATGGGACTCCTCAGCAGTGCACATCCACGAACCCGCTCTCGCGAGATTCGAACCCAGGACCTACCAGCCTCGAGCCGAAGCCCTTAACCGATAGACCACTGAGCTGGCATCCAACGGTGTTAATGTCTAACTTCAACTGATCCACTGCTGAGGAGTCCCATAATAGGACGAAACGGCCGTCCAGTGCTTCCAGGTTTTCGATGGTGGTCTAACTTCAATTGACTCATGATTTCAACCTTGAAAAATACTGAAATCTCCACAAATCCCCTTCTGATTATAAGTGTAATCTACTTAATTTACATTACAGAAATCGATCGAAGCGACTTACAGGAATGAATAGTTCAAAGAGAGTTTAAATTAAGGTGTGAATGGCAGTGAAGAAAGCAAATATACCATAAAACGCTTAATAATTTGGTACATTTTGATTGAAAAAAATTGAAATGAACTGAGTATCTAACTGAAATAGTAATAAATAAATTTAAATTTATTGAGTTTTCTTTTAGCTTAGAAGTACAAAGTTATAACGTAATTAACTCGTAAAACTTGTTCTGTTTTAAATTACATTTACTTCCCACTATAGCTGAGTTCAGTACTGAAACAAAATATCATCCATATTATTCAAATAGATGATTTGTTGTTAAGGTAGCTTGAAGAATTCAATGGTGAAGAGTAAACCTATACTCGGTTTAATGGTTGATAAGTATTACCAATTAGATATTAAAACCTACTATTGATTGATTACTGAGTACTACTCAGTGTTATGTCTGTCTAGTCCATTAGTAATTATTGAATTCTATTAATCAAGTTCCAGTGAGGCCGCTAGCCTTAGTAACTCAACTTTGCGTCTACTATATTGGGATGTTAGTTTGTTAGTAGTAATCAGTAGGAAACCCTATATGATCAAGATTTCGTGGTGATTAACAGGGTGTACCTGCTATTTTAAACATACTGATCTCACAGAGGGATTGTGATCCATAGTCACTAGGTTTAATAATTACCTTCGAGACTGTAGATGCACCTTGTTAAGTTTTGACAGTTAAGTATTAAAATGTGGTAAATATTGTAAAAATTCAGAATCCTCTGCATAAAACGATTCTTATAGTTGGTCAAAAGAAGGTAAATATAATCGTCAGTAAATAAACCTAACGGATTGCTCAGGTAAGAGCTCAAACTTTTGTCATGGAAATAACATTCAATAGTTATTGTATTTTTTGGACTATTTGTCTTCCTTTATAGATTTGTCAGCCAAGATAAGATAAAAATTGTATATATCATTCCTAGTAAGTGCTTAGGTTACCCCATAGTTTATGCTAAGGGCTGTGCTAAGATATGTACATCCTGTCAGGAATTTTTCTCTATAGCTATATAGTCAGTAAACATTAGCACTACAATGCAAGTACATCCAGATGACAAGTATCAAATAGGAATGAACACGCACCTATGATTAGGTTTCCGGCCATAATACGTCTATTCCAGATACAAGTCATATGTTATAAATTCTCACTACCATTTAAACCAGTAGATTTTCTGTGGGAAAAAGTTGTTTGGGTATAACAAACATTTTGAATTATTCAAGAAATTATAAACTGATATTCTTTCATGATGTCAGTGAATTTTTCAAGGTAAGCATTTAGAGCATTGATTAACAGTCTTACCTGAGTTTAGAAACATCTGTTCAGTTTTCATTAGTTTCTAAATATATAACAAGGAAAGTCAATGTATGACAAATATCAACTACAGATTGTTAGAAGATTTATAAAATTAAAAACTGTCTCTTGTTGTATACATTATGTAAAAAGTAAGTGTTATTATTAGACTGATATTCAAGTAATAAAACATTTGTTCCTGTCTCATTAAAAATCATGAATTTGTTTCTCACTACTAGGATTTAATTTACAATAATAATTACTTCACTGGTAAAAGAACATTAAGTGATCAGAATAAGACAGAAGACGTCTTAAAAAAATACAGTAAAATAATAAAATTAAATTAACATGTTTTCATTAATACAAAACTGAAAAGATTTCATTTCTTAACATACTAGAGGTGCATGATACCTATGGGATATTTTGATTTCACTAGAGTTGGAAATGTAAACAATTGAGCCCTAACTTAACAGTTTAAATGTGAAGAGCTCGCCAAACGAATCAAAGCTCCTATATTTGATCCTGAATGTAGTTGTCAGTGTACGCTGTTGATGAATCTTGTACTAGGATGAAATAGCTACTAACTGTATCCTGACTTTCAATACTTGTTAAACTAAAGTCAAGTCTTGATGCAAAACTAAAAATTATTGATACAAACAAATTTGCTTAAATATCTATCGTGTGGATTATAGGGAATACGGAAACAGTATAACAATAACAAATATATTGTGAGTACAAGTCTGTCAGCAGTACTCAAAATATTTAATGGTAGTCAAATTCAAATGACCAACTTAAAATATGTCTGGTGGTAAATCAACATTATATTGCTAAAAGCCTCCAAATTGTACACGCTTCTTATTCAATTTCACCCAGAACAATATCCTCTAACTGTATTAATAAATATGCATAGAGATTCTGATGAAGATAACTGACAAGAATCAATTGGACATTCAACAATTTAACCTTTAGATAACATGATTCTTTATTGTGTCCGGGTATTCATTTAGAAGGCTTGCACTTGGTTCATCCAATATTTTAGAATTCGACAGCTGTAGTAAAGGATATAGTTCAAAAAGATGTTATGTTCATTGAACTGTCTTTATGTTGCTTACTGAGACTCAGTGGGTTTTATTTGTTGCTGTTTTAATCTTAATTATTATTTGGTAGTTATACATCCATAGAACTCATATAACATTGACCTTAATAATACTATTATTTCCTGTTTAATCTCATATCATTTTATTCTTCTTGTAATATCCAGTCGGTAATTCATAGCGCTTCATTGAAACACATGTGACTCAGACTTTAAGTGGACTTATGAATTTCGAAGTAAATGATGGTCAGTTTATCAGTGTAATAATGGTTAATTGGAAACTTTTACTGAGACCATGAACCGTTCATTAATAGAACACCATGAAAAACCTGGAAGCACTGGATGGCCGTGTAGTCTTAGTAATGGGACTCTGCAGTGCGTACGCACCACACATGGAACTCAAACACAGGATATTAGGTTCGTAACCCAATACTGAAATTTTTCAGTTACCACCCTTCTAATGTATATAAATTACCATTCCTTTAACTAGCACTACTAGTGTTTATTGTAGTTTTCCCTGAACCAGTTCTTATCTTATCTTGATAATTTCATTTCACTAACACTGAATGCTGGTATCGTTTTCACATTTACAAGTGCTAATAGATCTATTCTAATAACAGTCTTAAATTCCTATCTCTAAACTAAAATCAGCTTGTAAAACATATCTTCTTACAGATTAAAATGAGCTCCATAAAGATGTTTCACCTAGTATCTATTAAAAAGCGGCTTGTAATGTATTCAAAACTGGCGTTTCGTTTTGCATGGGACTCAGCAGCTGTATGTGCCTACATCCCCGGTGTTGATGTTCATACTAAGATTTGAACTCAATATATTTCGCTTCAAACGTCAATGAGTCAAACATTGGTCTCCTCTGTTCGTTTGGCCAATAACATGTTTAAGAAGAATAAATATCATTTATTGGAGTTCGTATTTTCTTGTTGTTGATGCTAAGAATTGCAACTGTTTTATTACTAATGACATATGTAATCGTGAGAGGATTCATTCGATAGGACCAATTAGCCAAATGTTTTTTTAAAGCTTGGAAAGCAAAAACACTTACACATACAGTTTATACTCATCACCAAAGCTATTGGCTATCTGAACTCAGTGGTTCCTGGATATCAGAATATCATTTCAGGCAAACGCTATTGAGTTCGAGTTTCAGTGTAGGAATCAAAAGTAACGTTCAAGCAAACCCGACCAATAAGTCCCAAATAAGACGAAGCGCATATCCCGAATTTGACTGTTAGCTTCCATACTGCTTCAGTAAGAACTTGCGACCTAATCACAATAAAAAAGGGAACCACTCAAGATGTAAATATGATCAATACTGAAAGATCAGTTACAATATGAAATCTACACTTTTTCACATAAAATTCATACTCGTTACAAATGCTAGTAACTATCTGAAGTCCTTAGATCAATAGGCATTATTACCAAGGTTTAACTTAATAATTTCGAATAAATTGAACTAGTCCAAGAAATTTGGATTAATTTTGATTTGGTTATTTATTCTCTGAAGAAGTGGCTTACATTGAGTCACCAAACGTCAGAAAATCGATTTTTTTCTACTCATTGGGAAATTACAAATATATCATTTATTTATCCATATTTCAATGTTAAATATATTGATATTTGAAAAGAAAGATACTAGGACATTAAATAGGAATAATATATATATTGGGGTTTTAGTTTCAGTGTAACCATCCAAAATGGCAATGTAAGTACAAGCACCTAATGAAAGCTTTTATAAATATGATAATGTTTCTATTTTAAAATTACAAACGAACTCATAACTATTTTAAATTAAATTAAAATCTATTGAAATAAAGAAATAGTTTTCTTTCCTAACATTTACACTTTTATCATTGTTGAAAGCGTGAGTCAATTGAAGCTAGACCACCATGGAAAACCTGGAAACACTGGACGGCCGTTTCGTCCTATTATGGGACTCCTCAGCAGTGCGCATCCACGAACCCCCTCTCGCGAGATTCGAACCCAGGACCTACCAGTCTCGAGCCGAAGCCCTTAACCGATAGACCACTGAGCTGGCATCCAACGGTGTTAATGTCTAACTTCAACTGATCCACGAAGTTGAGCAACCATTCACCAATTGTCTTCAGTGAGTTCCTATCTCACAACAGACGTGGTTTTGAACTCCACTGGTCACTGCTTCTCACTAGAGCTCCTAGATGATAAATACTAAATCTCCACAAAACCCCTTCTATAATTTACACTTTTGTTAATTTCCATAATTAGACACTTACCTGTATGTATGTATATTATTACTTAATTGCAATTGATTACAATGTAAAATAATAATAATGATAAGTTGTATCCTATAAATGAAGAATTCCTTTTTGTTTTCTATGGTAATATCCAGTTAATGAACCAAATGATAAAAGTTCAAATACATTTTTATTGTTTGTTCAATTCAGCTATCTCACTTCCACTCTCTCATTCTCTCTCATTCTATCCCTCTTTCTCTTTTTTTTTTACATATAATGAATTAAATAAACATGTTACTAAATTAGATTCTAGATCGATGGGGAAAACAAATAAACAATAAATTGCGGTAGGTACCATATGTAACATAATAGTAATTCTTTTTTATTGAATCAACATTGAATTTTGTTAAGTTTAAAGGTGAGAAATAAAAAAAAAGTGAATGTAAGAGACATCAGATAGAATAGGTATGTAAATATATCTATCCATTAAAAAAGAGAGAGAAAGAAAACACAACACATTCTTTGCTTAGATTGTTTGCTTTTTACGGAAAATAAGTTATTTTTCTGGTTTTATCGTTATCATATATTATGCATGCGAAAACAGGAATAATTGTTTTTTTCTTACAAAAATGAAAATCGTGAAATAAATAGAAAACAATATTACCTGATAAAATTCAAATTGAACAACTTGAAATATGATATAAGAATAGAAATGAGAAATATCGTTTATTTGAAGAAAAGAAGTCATTTAGCTAGGCAGTTTCTGGAAATCTATTTAAATAATAGGTCCTCCGCTCTTTTTATGTGATTTACAGTTCATTTCACTCAGTGATAAAAGGCTTTTTCAGAGAAAGTAGTGTAAAACCTCTCTGACTAATAGCTTCAACTTATATAAATAATTTATTTATAAATACCCTATTGAGATGTATCATACGAATATATGGTCGCTTGCTAGCTATAAGAATATTGAATAAAATTAGAAGCTGAACCTAAATTATTATTTAGAATAGCCATACAGAATTTAAAATTAATGACTAGTGGAATAATATACGATTAAATTTCACCTGAGTTATAGTTTTCCAATCATCTGAACTTAATGGAAAGAAATAAATCAAGTAAACATCAGTAGGTTTTGTCGGTCACAGACTGATCTCCCTTAAATTATCATTGAGGGCTAAGGAACACTGGACACACGTTTCACCCTAGTATAGTACTCCTCAGGAGTGGATACTCATAACACACTAGGAATAGTTTAGCTAGGTCACAGAGTGATTGAATTTGGGACTGCACTATTGGGGGCTTGCCTAGTGGTTACAATGGTTAATTGTTCACCGCGAGATTTGATGGTTCTGTTGCGTTCAATTTAGTGTTGAGAAGTTGCGTACTGTGAAGAATAAGCTATCCTGTACTTTCTGATCTTCAATGGTACCCCAGATGTAAACAGTCTATAGCGGAGGCAACCTACAAACTAAAACCGGTCTCCACAAAACCTGTTAAACTAAAGAATAACAATTTAATTTTCATTGTAAATGCATTTTAATGAATAGCTTGAATAAGGTTACTTACTCAATAGTTCGTTTAATGTCAGTTGATCAATACGACGAATATCTGTGGCTATACGTCTTATTAGATTAAATACAACCAGATTCTAGTATGTGTGTGGGATTTTATTCATTGACTGAAATGCATTTAAAGTATGGTTGACAGTTGATCTACATAAACGACACCTAACTAGATAAAGAACAAGCACCTCATAATATACTAGTTTCAGTGTTGTTGGTGAATTAAGTATTGGCATTGACACGTACTGCAGTTACTACAATTATTCGCTTTGACAAAATAAGGTATTTTAAAATAATTTCGCCAACCATATGCTCTTTTTTTATCAGTGATTCACTAACTCAGTTTATTTTATCTACACCACTTCACTAAATTATGTAACTAATTATCTTTATCTTTGAGTTGAATTTAAATTCATTAAAGAAAATTTGTTGTTGGCACTCTAATCGGAATCGTCAATGTAACCAGATGTATAAGAGATTAGTAGACTAAAATGATGAATATACTTGGAGTAAAATAGGGTTGTTTTCATGTAAATCACTCAATTATAATACTGTTAGCACAGTTCTTGATAATATCTTCATTGTCCAACGAACGACAATAAAAATTTTATACTTAAACTATTCGGTTTACGGAATCTAATAAAGAACATTCACGTATTCTGTTAGTTACGTCTTTAAATTGTGGGATAAACTAAGTATAATTGTTGTCAAACAGATTTCATGAAGACTATTTCACAGACAATAAGCATAATGAGTAATAAGAATAGTAATTAAAAACAAAACAGTAGAAATTATGAATAACATAAGTATTTGCTTTTATCCGTATCACCTCAGTGGTCTGCCATATGATTTCAAATGAAAAGTTATGAATGAGAGATAAGCATTATTTCCAGTGCACTAATGTAAATTCTAATCATAAATCCAATATGTGATGGGTTTTCATTGTTGATATATTTTTTTGTTCAGAAATCCAGTCTTATTTACTGTTAGTCTAATTCAATAGCTTTAATCATTATTTAATATATTCTGAAAATAATTACTGTATTTATGCACGCCAACTTATAGACTTGGTCAGGTTGGCATTTACATTGTATATAAACGCAATAATAATAATAATAATAGTTTATTCTTGAAAAGTTCAAATACAAACATCATACATTTACACGCATATACCAACTACTGTGTAATGTATGGTGAAGTACGAAAAAGTGATCGTAACTTTAACAGGGTAGTTAGTATTTTGAAACCAGACTTTATAGTTATATACGTATTTTGGTTGTGAGAAATATCAAAATGGATTTGGATTAAAATAACAGTAATAATAAAAGTATTATTAAGATGTGCAACTATGAAATAAAATGAAAGAATGACGTCAGTTCTATACACGCGACGTGAATCTATAAAATATTGTTGTAATTATTATCATCATCAGAATCATCACGCAATAGAAACATGTTAATCGTATGAATGCCAATATTTATGTTAAACATAGTAATTAGATAGATAGATGACTAAAAGTACTTTGAATAAAGGGCAAATTAATTGATCAGAAAAGAAACAAATTAATGCACCACCACAGAAAAAAGCAACACATCAAAATGTCTGGGATGATTATTTATTTTTCTGTCGGGAAACAATAATTGTTTCATCTAGCTGTATAATATCCATGATAAAATTACGTTATATATGGATATATATTTCTAAAACAAATTATTCTTTTTAATGTATATACATTTCATTTATTGAAAAGTTAGTGTAATTATAGTTTAACGATGAGCTAACACTGACATTGAAATGACATGGTAATTATAAATCCACTTTTCAGCTCATGAGCAGAGTCTGTTTTGTTGAAGAACATTCGTCAATGGAACTAATGATAGTTTCATTGTTTCGCACGATTTATTACTAGTCCACCTATTTCAATATGGTACAAATGTTACACAACCTCATTTGCCTAAATATGAATATATTCATACTACTTCTAATAGTTTTACAGAAAATGCACTGTTACCTATAAAATTTTTTAGAAGCAAGTTCTTCTGACAACTGTTCGAGTTTAGGGCACATTGACTAACGATTTTCATGAGCTACTGTACAACATTCATAGTTTGTTCTACATACAATAAATTTCACTACAGTTTGGTCTCGTTCGACCAAGAAAGTGAAACACAGCGAGGAGGCATTGGCTACCACTGTGTTCTTTTTACAGTGGAAAGAACCTAAATAGATTGAAAACAATTGAAATCACATGGGCACTAAGACTATATAAAACTTATAGCAGCTGAATAACATATTACCGAGGTCTTGAGAAATTATTAATGGAAGCAAACGTACTAGCTTCGAATCACAGAGCTAGTTAAATATAATGATGGTTACCAGTCAGTGACTTCGAGAACTAATGCCACGTTTAGGTTTGGTCGCCTTTAGCTTTCTCCCAACCTACGTCTACATTATCAAACTTTGTCTGCTGACATAGGCAAATGATACAAACTGACTGGTTATTAAAGTCTGTACAAATCGAGGTGATGTCAATCGTCCAGTTTTATGTCGTTGATGATATTGAATTTTTCCTATTAGGTCAAGTCTGTTAGTTTTTCAACCGTGTCGTTTAAAGACTGAAAAGTGAATTAATTCTCAAAGTTTAGAAGCCTAGTAGAAAACGGAGTACACTTTACCGTGTCAGATCGTTCTAGGAATGACAACACATCCTATGAATAACTGTACCTCCAAACTATACTTACTTATACCTGTTACCCCTCATGGATGAGTATAGACCGCCCGCCATCCAACTCTATCACGGGCAATCCTTTCCAGTTGCTATTCATCTCTGCTTCAGATTCTCAACTGTGTTTTTGCCATTCCTCTTTCCATTCAGGATTCCAAGTTGGTGCTTCGTGATGTAGTGTATTAGTTGAAATTTTATTCAAATGTACGTCCTGTGCTGAACGACGCTAAAAATGCGATGGAACTAACTAGCTTCAGTATTTAACTAAATGTCACATATAAATGTCTTACAACACTATATACCGACGGATTTCAGAAATACAAATCCCTTATTATTCATTTACCCCGTTCAACCCTGACGATTATAGAATCTTTTAGGTAGATTTCAGCATTTAATGTAAATGAAAATATATTTTCCAGTTCATAGATTGAAATAAAAACTAAGCGACTGTGAAATGTAATCATTGGTTCATTTTGTAAGGTTTAACACTTCCATAACTTTTATTAATACTCAAGATGTCAATAATGAGTTTGTAAGTTATAAATAGTATATCATTAGCTGATGAACATATAGAGATAATTCATCTCCACTACAATTACTATGGAATAGCATAGTCATCATTTGTGATAAGCAATCAGAAATCTCACCGAAACATTTATATCACTGATTTATTAAGAGCATTTATCTTGACGATCATTCGAACTTAACAAACATATGCGTGTATCGTCACTTCGAAATCAACAAATACAATAAATGATACTTTTCAAACATTTTATTGACTATACCCACTGTAGTGGTGTCTGTAAATAATCAGAAATAAGCATTGGCATGTATTCCAGTCAATCAGAATTGTCAAATTACTATACGACACTGGCAATGAATAGATCATGCTTTTGTTATGACTTAGTCACAACTACAGAAATGATATTAGATCGAAAAACAGATATAACAACCTATTTGCACCTAAACATAGTGCAAGCGATATCTTGTCATTTAAAGTAGTGGCTAGACTAACCTGATAGACAGAATTCGATAAGCGTTTAAGCATTATACAAACATGGCGCTGTGACCAGATTAGTTGCAGATATTTTACTCCTACAGGTCAGTCATCACCCGATTAACCCGAAGGTTACGTCCAGAACGGTGAACATGGGGCTGGTCTGAATACCGTGTAAAGCATGAGTCTGTCAAGCTTATAGGTACGCCCTGATGGTAAGCGCTAACTAGCACAAAGCCTAGATCTTTGGTTCCTTGACGGCTGCTTAAAACTACCTAACATTATATCAAACCTCATACTAGATGACTGAACTAATACCAAATGTAAATGCAACATTTGCCCAATTTATTTAACAATGACAAATAGACTAAGAATAGTAATTCTAGGCTTCACTATTACACAAATGCATATCAAATTTCAATTCTCATTAAAGTGGTAATAATAAAAGTGGTCACGACTAAAAAAATGGTCGTAAGAAATGTCAACCAAACATAATTTTTTTAAACAAGAACTGTGTTTTATAACTTTTCGTGAAAACGAAACGAAACAGAATGCGAACCAACGTAAAAACAAATAACAGATTTATCAGCGAGTAATGGATAGATAGTGTATCAGATAAGCAAACAGTCAGGTAAATATGTAAGAAAACAGGTTATCGAGAATAATGTTTACGAAGAAAATTATTTGCATAAAATGTTTTCACATAAATTAATTGCGTTCGTATCTCTTTAATATATATATATATATGGTGTAAAAAGAGTGGACATAAAGAAATGACCTATCACAAAATAGATCTGTGTAGTTGATTTATTCGGAAAGTATAAAAATATTTATAATATCGAGAACTGACGACGAAAAAATAAAAACACTATCAAGTAAAGCATTGATTGTGAATTACACAACAGTTGAAAACAATAAATCAATACTGACATAATAAACCAGAGAAGTACTATTACTGTTACTAATAACAATGAAGGCAAGTAAAATTGGTACACGTGCATACTCAGGACAAATTGAGGTTCACAATGTAAATAAGAAGCAAAATGAACTGTTTCTTGATTATAAAAAAATTCACTGAGTAATCTTAAGGCAACACAAACAATAATACATCAGGTACTGAACATACAAGAAAACAGAACGCCGCCATCATTCTTGAAAACAAGTGATTATGGTTGTGTCTGTGTTTATGTTTGAGAGCAGACATAAAAACAGATGTATTGGCCTAAATTGACTGTAAACAACAACTGAGACATAAAAAAAGCAATTGATTAGAGAAGAAAAATCTAACAGATACAGACAGTAACAAGAAGTCGTGGATGAGACACTAAAAGGTACGAAAAAGGCAATCTGGACAAATAAAATATGATAACTAAAAATAGTGATAAAACGACATGAAAACTTGCTAAAAACGAATAATACAGCAAGAATAAAAATGATCTCAAAAAAATAAATGAATATCGGTGTTTATTTTTGTAATTTCTCAAAAGAAAAACAAAACGGGCAAAAGTCATAACCTACTTGTGGTTAAGTGGTATATAGTAGGGAGGAAAAACATTAAAACGCACTGTTGCGTAAAATTATAGGGAAACAAGTGAGTTATTTCATTGTTCATTTTTATGGACTTTTTTGGTTAGTTCATGTTAGTTGAAGAAAAACCTAAATTGCCTTTTCTACTTGGAAAAGTGAACAAACAAACAATGATGGTAAATATATATCTACACAGAATCAGGCATCATTCGTTGTTGCCATCTGCTTCATTCCTCTCCTTCGGTGGTCCTATCTAGACTCTTTCCGAAGAAAAGTAATTCAACAGGTAACTAGACAAATATTATCATTAAGAACGTGCAGATCTCTTTGGAGTGTACAGTAGTAGGCACATTGTGTGAATAATACAATAATTTCACGAATGTGCATCAAACTAATAAAAAGGTAAAGTGAAAACCAAGAAGTAGATAATGATAATAATAAAAGGAAGAATAATGGCGAAACAAAAGAAAAGGAAGTTTTGTAGTTTATAAAACACAAGAAAATTACTACTTTTTACATACAGGTGATTAGTGTATAAACGAATATGTTCATGTGTATGAAAAAAAGAACATATCAAGTGATTGAAATATACACCATAGATATCGTTGAACCTGTACATATTACATTAATGAAATTAGGTGGGTAGTTTTTGACCGTAATTAACAGGACGTTGTTGAATACTTGATGGTGGTGGTCGAGGTTCCGGACCATAATATCGTTCAACAATATAATATCGTATTTCAACCTTAAGGATAATTAAATTAAATGAAATCATGTGAATACACAAACGAAAACTTAAAAAAATTACTGAAAATGAATATAGACTGTAACAACAAAGCGATCAGCGGACAGTAATGAATATGTAATAAAGTTTTTGATAATTTAAGTGCTGTTTCATTGATTACGTTGTTTATAGCGTCTGAAAAAAGTCAAGTGGAAACCATGAAACACAAATGTCATATATGCCCATGGTGTTTACCACCTATTTAACTTAAACTTATAACTGTCGCCTGTTACTCCCAATGGAGCATAGGCCGCCGACCAGCATTCTCCAACCCACTCTGTCCTGGGCCTTCTTTTCTAGTTCTATCCAGTTCTTGTTCATTCTTCTCATGTCTGTCTCTATTTCTCGGCGTAATGTGTTCTTTGGTCTTCCTCTTCTCCTTTGACCTTCAGGATTCCATGTGAGGGCTTGTCTTGTGAGGCAATCGGGTGATTTCCTCAAAAAGTGCCCAATCCACTTCCAGCGCTTCCTCCTGATTTCTTCCTCCGCTGGAATCTGATTTGTTGTCTCCCACAGTAATTTGTTGCTGATAGTGTCTGGCCATCGGATCCGAAGTATCTTGCGTAGACAACTGTTAATAAACACTTGTATCTTCTGGATAATGGCTTTCGTAGTTCTCCACGTCTCCGCCCCATACAATAGAACTGTCTTGACATTTGTATTGAAAATTCTAACCTTGGTGTTGGTTGACAATTGTTTTGAGCTCCAGATGTTTTTCAGTTGTAAGTAAGCTGCACTTGCTTTGCCGATCCTCGCCCTCACATCTGCATCTGATCCACCGTGTTCATCAATGATGCTGCCCAGATATGTAAAGGTTTCCACATCTTCCAAAGCTTCTCCGTCAAGTGTAATTTGATTGGTGCATATTGTGTTGTATCAGAGAGTCTTGCTTTTCCCTTTGTTTATATTGAGACCTACTGCTGCTGAGGCTGGTCGTTTTCTCCTGCATTTGTTGTTGCGTTTGTGATAGAAGAGCCAAATCATCCGCCAAGTCTAGATCGTCAAGTTGCATCCTGCCTGTCCACTGTATCCCGTGATTCCCTCCAGTTGTCGACGTCTTCATGATCCAGTCGATCACTAAGAGAACGAGAAAGGGTGAGAGTAAGCAACCTTGCCTTACACCGGTCTTTACTTCAAACGAGTCGGTGAGTTGTCCTCCGTGGACGATTTGGCAGTTTGGTCCATCATAGGAGTTCCGTATGATATTGACTATCTTCTCAGGCACACCGTAGTGTCGAAGAAGCCTCCATAGTGTCGTCCTGTCCACGCTATCAAATGCCTTCTCGTAGTCGATGAAGTTGATGTAGAGTGATGAATTCCATTCGATTGATTGTTCCACAATGATCCGCAGAGTTGCGATTTGATCTGTGCACGATCTATCCTTACGAAATCCAGCTTGTTGATCTCGAAGTTGGGCGTCCACGGAATCCTTCATCCTGTTTAACAATACTCTGTTGAAGACTTTCCCTGGTATTGAGAGGAGAGTGATGCCCCTGTAGTTGTCGCACTTGCTAAGATCGCCTTTCTTTGGTATTTTGATCAGAAGCCCTTTTTTCCAGTCTGTTGGTACTTGTTCTTCGTCCCAAATCTTACTGAAGAGGATGTGTAGTATCTTGGCAGTTGCTGTTACATTTGCTTTCAGTGCCTCGGCCGGGATGTTGTCTGGTCCCGCTGCTTTGCCGCTCTTGATTTGTCTAATGGCCATGCTGATCTCTTCAATTGTTGGTGGGCCAGCATTGATTGGGAGGTCTGTGGGTGCTGCTTATGTGTTGGGTGGGTTCAGTGGAGCTGGTCGATTCAAGAGTTCTTTGAAGTGTTCTACCTACCTGTTTCGTTGTTCTTCAATGTCGGTGATTACTTTGCCTTCCTTGCTTTTCACTGGCCTTTCTGGTTTACGGTATTTTCCAGCAAGTTTCTTTGTTGTATCATACAGTTGTCTCATGTTTCCCTCTGTTGCAGCCTTTTCTGCTGTCATTGCTAAATCTTCCACATATTTACGTTTGTCGGTTCTGATGCTCCTCTTCACTTGCTTGTTTGCCTCTGTGTATTCGGCTTATGCCTTGGCTTTTTCTGCTCTTGTTTGGCTGATATTGATTGCTACCTTCTTGTTCTTCCTTTCTTCAATCTAATCCAGTGTATCAACAGTGATCCATTCCTTGTGATGGTGCTTCTTTTGACCCAGGACCTCTTGACATGTTGAAACGATTGCCTCCTTGATACCTTTCCAGTTGCTCTCCATGGTAGTCCCCTCTCCATTGAGTAGATCATGAAAGGCCTGGAACCTGTTGCTGAGGGTTATGTTGAATTTGTTGAGTTTGTCAGCATCTCGAAGAAAGGCCGTATTAAACTTTTGTGATGTTGTCCGCACCATTGTCCAGTGCTTCTTGAGTTTTAGTTTCATCTTGGCGACTAGCAAATTATGATCGGATGCTATATCAGCTCTTCTTCTGGTTCTCATATCCTCCATCGTCCTCCTGAACTTTTTGTTGATGCAGATATGGTCGATTTGATTCTGTGTAGTGTGATCCGGTGAAATCCAAGTGGCTTTGTGTATGTTTTTGTGTGGGAATTTGGTGCCACCTATGACCAGTTTATTGAAGGCACATAGGTTTGCAAATCTCTCACCATTTTCGTTCCTTTCTCCCAGTCCATGTTGTACCATGACGTCTTCGTATCCAGTGTTGTCCTTTCCAACCTTGGCATTGAGATCTCCCATCAGAATGGTCAGGTCCTTGGTTGGGCACTTCTCGAAGATCGACTGCAGCTTATCGTAGAATTGGTCTTTAGCGTCTTCATCGTAGTCGTTGGTCGGCGCATAGCATTGAATGACGTTCATTGTAATGCTTTGATGATCCTTGGTCCATGAGATTCCCATCCAATAAGTGCATTTTGTGCTTTTCTGGACAGCATGAATGCAACTCTTTGTGTATGTGGGGCATTTTCTTCTCCATGACCGGAGTATAACAGAAGTTCTCCTGAAGACAGTCGTTGTTGTCCAACCTGCGTCCAATGCGTTTCACTGATTCCAGGCACCTCCAGGTTGTATTTTCTCATTTCTGCAGCGATTTGGAAGACTCTTCCGGTCTCCCACATTGTCCAGACATTCCATGTACCTATAAAAATTGTTGCTCTGGTTGTAAGGTGCATCGGCCTCATGACTTCCGAATGAACTCGGCTTTCATCATGAGATGTCATAATTATTCCTTCTACTCCCAGGGCAGAGTTTAAATGGTTTGAATTATTTTTTTCTGGTTAGCGTTTTTTTAGCGAGTTGATTTTCTACGGGATGGGGTCGCTAACCCCATGCCCAACCCTCCTCCTTTAGCCGGGCTTGGGACCGGCAGTAACCCCCAGAGGAGCTACAGGCGGAGTTTTACCACCTATTTAGTCTCGGATAAAAATAATCACAGTAATAATACTAGACTCATACACCAGTTACTTGGGTTCGAGAGCTAATGATACGAATTGGTGGTCCAAACTGAAGTAGATGAAGATAAGTACCGACCTGGAATTCAGCAGCTCTTTAAAAAATCCTAACTATTGTTTACTATAGTTAAAAATATACAGTCGTTTTTCTGTTCTTCGAATATAACATCAACTCTTGACAGAAGGGATGGATTTTGGTTAGCAGTAGAATACAAGATGCTCGTTTTGTCCTATGCGGAAATTACCAGATCAATGTCCCATCCATCACAGATTCACACCCTGGATTCTACTGCTAGCCACAATCTCTTGTAAAAATAGCTATATCAAGGCAATCTGATAAGGATACATGTATCAACTAAGACTAATCACAATTTAATTGTAAGCACTTATACAGTAGAACCATTGAGGTTAGCTTCCAACGGTACATTTTCCAACTTCAATCAATTTGTGATAAAAAGGAACGATTACAGTTAAAAATGCCTCCTCCTAAAACCTGAAAGACCAAAGTTCGACTTTTAGTAGCGTTGTGGATGTGCACTTCAGAGGAAACTCATGACAAGAGAAAATAGTTGTGCAGTATTTCCTGTTTTCGATTTTGCCTAAAAGGAGACCAATCTGCGATAAACCTAAACTATGAACATTTTAAAATGGATACGAAAGTAATTTTGATACAAGAAATAATAATAATAAAAACAGCGCTAATATTATTTAATTAAACATATTTAAGGGCCTAAAAAACAAGGACAGTATACAGTACTTGCTATCATTAATATACTAACATTAGAAAATCTAACAGTTGTATGCTTTTGTGTAAGAATCAAACTATATATATATTACATACCATATCAAACAAAGAATGCATTAACAAGAAACTAGGCACTAAAAAACAGAAGAGATAGTGTGAGCGACAAAAGCCACTACTAACTAACAATGAAAGTATTCAGAATTCATAAGTATATTCACTACTCCCAACTGAATGTATAAGCTAGCGAGCAAACATATAATACTTATATGCATTCATTTAAATACCGAAATAGAACAGATGACTAAATACAAACAGTTGCCATATATATATATATATAGGTCACATGTACACAACCTTGTTCAAGAGTTCAACAAAAACGGGAGAAATAAGTAGATCAAGCTAAAAATAGCTGAACAGGGAAGAAAAGAATATATTAGATGTAATAACAAGCTTTATAACAAAAAAACGAGATTTTACCTCTGGATAGTTTTCTTTTTCTTCAACTACTGCTGGTTGAAAAGAAGAACATTTGACTGGATAATCTTTAAAACAATTTGTTGTTATTGACGTCGACAGTGGAGGCAACGGACAATTAGGTGAACTTGCAGTAGTTAGTGGCATTGTATGTTCAGGTGTAGAAAGTGTATGCGAATGACGTTTACAACCGCCTGTCATAGTTGATAATAATTTATTTGGGTCGCCGCTACTGCTACTATTACTACTACAATTCCATATACGTTCAGGAGCGGTGAATACTAAATGTCCAATATCATTCACATCAACATCATTCCCATTAATGTTGAACTGACTTAGATTTTGGATGTAATCGTTTGTTGTTGTCGCATCCTCAGACAGATCAATGTCCATTAGTGAAGATGAATCAAGATCGGATAATGAATGTGGTTCAGTAGATACAATAGGATAGTTTCTGAAGTTAGACTTATTATTATTAGTTTGAGATGTGTTTAATTTATTATGAATTTGGGGTATTGAACCGTGTACAGCTAGTCAGAGAAAGAAAAAGACAATTATGACAGTTTGCATATAAACATTACATATGCACAAACTTGACTATGGAGAGCCAAGTATTTAATTCGACAATAATTAATATCATTAATCAAGTGTACCGATGAAAGTAGACTGATAAGACCTAAATGATCTAATGGATAGGAAGGTAAATGTATCCGTAAATCACTGAGTCGCATATTCTTTCTGATAATAAAATGCTGTTGATGTAAGAAAACATTATCTCATTCATGTTTTTTCGGTTGGCGATATGATCCCTAAGAAGCGACCTACAAAATAATTTCTTTCAAACACCTATAGCAATTTATCATGTTTATAATGTGATGTAATCTTGAAGGAACTGACGCTTTGTGTGGGATTCTGTTATATCCCCCGGTAAATTACGAATGGTAACTTTTAGGTCTATTTATGGATCAATGTAATATACCTATTTCCTATTGTACAATTATTACGTAACTGAACTATTCATATTCGTATTTCTCTTATCATTAGCTTTATTTTGACCTTTGACTTATTATCATACGATTCTTGAGTTATAATCAGTTTATTGATTACTTTGGATTGTATAAAAACCCAGTGTGTTTGGAAATAATGATTCATATTGCCGAGGCTGTTATTTGTGTTCTGGACTTAACTGGCTGGGCTAGGCAGAAAGCAGGGCCGATACGCAATCAAGACTGCTCGTACGATTTTATGCATCATCATTGCGCCGATCAGTAAATTCACTCCTCTCTAATTGCACGTTCATATATATTACGAGTCTATACTTTATAACAGATTCAAACTTTTGTCACTCAGCTTCACAGTATATAACGTTACTACTGAACTGTCCGGGTCACTATCCAATGGTCAACCAATTGTACATATCTTAGTCGTATAGGAGGTCAGTTACATCCCAAATTTTTAGAGACATTAGTAATTAGTGCATGTTCAACTGTTATCCAAGAAATAATCGTTTTAACAATATTACATTTATAAAGAGAATTTTTTGTCTCTGTTATCGTAATTAGTTTCTTGTATATAAGTTAATTTTGCATAAAAGTTAAATTTCACAAGCTCTAATAAATACATTGCAATTCTGTGTGGTCAGAACAGTCTTTTTTTCTAGTGTCGTACAGGTCTATATACTTGTTTTGTTTAAAAAGGACCTAATCAAAATAGATGTTTTTTATTCCATTTTTCAATTCTCAAATGGAATATGGACCTTATTTAAGGTGAAATAAACATTATTGCTAAATATGACCAACCGGGGTATGAGATATGTAAGCAGAAATGCATATAATTCCGTGTAAAGCAGTTTCTCAATGGTTAGTCTTTTCTACTACGTCATACGTTCAAACCACACTGTCTGCTTCAGTTTGAACAGCTCTGACTCTTAGAGTATAGCTTGAACCCAAACAGATAAATGTGTACTTACCAAGTAGGTTAATAACAACCATTAACCCCTTTGTATACGGCAATTACCATTGTAAATCTAATCAACACATGAAACCCGTAATTAGTTGTTGAGTTGCATAATTCTTACTAAGTTTCACTAAACTCATTAGATATATATTTCTTGCTTTGACCACGATAGCATGATTAACGACATGAAAAGTAGAACCCGTTGTTCGGATTAACTTGTTTAATTAATTAATGGTGAAAACAGACTTTATTTTGGTTTTGGATAGAGATAACTACAGTAAAAATAATATTTTCGGGTCGTCTGGATGAAATAGCCAGTAATGTTGAAAATAAAATTGTAAAGAACCGACAAGAACAATACTGGACAACTGAATAATACTCATTCGTAAATAATTTCTACAAAGTATTGTTTGAAGTGTAATTTTCAGACCGCTTATTAAGATATTTTTCTAAGAATTCTAGGCAAACTGAGTCAATTCACCAATCAACCAAACTTCAAAGAGATAGAAATCGTACATACAGAATAAAAAACTATACGACACATACATTGCATACAATAGTATGAGATTATGCAGTAAGAGAATGAAAGTATCAATTGCACTTAAACTCACTTCCAGGAGTACTAGGATTCAAGTGCATTAAACCAGTCGATGAGCGTAAGCCAGCTGGGGGACTAAGAAACCAATCAGAACGTTTTTGTAAGCGTTCCAACTGACGTCGTTTAACAGAATTAAAACAAACTGATTGAGAAGATGGTGTTCCATAGGTTGCACTCTGGAGAAATATATAAAGATAGAGTACAAGTTTTAAATAAAAGAAAACAGAATCATAATGAATTTATTACAAAATACAATTTATTTTAATTGTGAAGATATTAGTAAAACCATAGCAGTTATAGAGAGAAGTATACGACAGTAACATTAGCTACAACTAGGATACCGTATACAGCAATCCTGCTTTCATCTAGCTCTTATCTGCTCCAAAAGACGAATCTAGCTAATATTTGTAGAAAATTCTCAAAGAAGATTCAGACTTACATGTAAGTCAATCCAGTCAAATATCCAATTTAGTGATTATTAAATACCGAGTTTTGTCTACTGACTAATTGTCACTGAACGCAAAATCAAAGAGATATGTTTAATACAAGAAAAGTACAGTGAGAATTAAGCAGCTAGTTACCGCTGACAATACACTGAGACTTAAGGAATAAAACTCACTCTGAATAATTTAATTCAAGGAAAATGCATCGCAGTTGACTGAACGAAAAATCACCTTTTTTATATTGTATTTAGGGATATATATGATCATTAACAGTTGTTTGCTTGGGTTTTAATTTCTTGTTGCAGAAGTAGTAATCATAAAAGTTTGATAGCACATGGTTATGGTGAGAACTAAGTAAGTGTGCAACACGTCTACATACTTGTTGGAGATTTGGAAAAAACAAAATTATACGACCTGTCATTAACAAGACTACACTTAAAGCAAGCTACGCTGATGATACCTTTATTTTGTGTGATGACATGAACCATACAAATCAAATGCTTGAATCTTTTGGTAAACTTCAATCCAGTATCAAATTCACAACAAAACATAAAAACTACAGTGCGCGCCACTTCCTCGATTTAGTTATTTCCGGAAGAAATGATGGGACCTGTCAAATGTTCATGCATTTAAAAGAAGCTTAGAGTAGACAATACGCTTGTCATCACAAAATAGATTACGCTATACACAACACAATGTCCGATAAAAAAACAGAAGTAGATAAGTATTCATCACACCTCACCTCCAACCGCATATATCGAATCGCTGTACATTTGAAGGACTGAAGAGTGAGCTTCTACTCGTTTTACCGAATACATATGACCTTAATATTTAGAAAGAATCAGTAGTTAACCTTCAACTCCTTTGATAACAATTTGACCTTCTGTTTTAATTGACTGTAATCATAATTCAGTAGGTTGAACTCACATATCCTTTTTTCCTTTCTAAATGTCCATAATTTTGTCAATATCATGCAATTGAATTTACCTCAGCATTGTAGAACTATTACCTCAAGGTATTGTGAAAAAGAGTCTCCTTTTTAAAACATTAACGCTTCTATAACACTAAATACAATTTATTCGTACAGTGATTGAAAAATAACTTTTCAATATTATGCTAATAGTTGGGAACAGTTAAATCTAATAGTTCGGCATGCAACTGAAGAGAAATCAACGGGATACATAATGAATTTGCTGTATTCTAAAAATATATATTATTGTTCATAATTTGTTTAAACTTAGTAAAATATCATACAATCCCGTTTGAATAAATTGTGTTCTGTATGAATGTTTCATGTTTTTTTATTTATTTATTTCAACACATAAATATTGGTACAAGGAAGCACCAGATAAATATGCGCCATACAAATCTCATTCGATTTGTATGAGGGCTGTGATACTGCCCAGGTGCCCAGACTGAAGCAGGATTGTTTCATGTGCACACTGGACAATTGAAAATACACCCAAAATTTCACCGTATCAACTACTTTAAGGGATTCGCATAAGGAATTAATATAAATTTAATTAAATACAGATCTATTTACTTGAAGTTTGTGTTACATTAATTGGTATGTGTAAGTAACCAACATAATATCTCAGTGTCTAAATTTTAAACCACTAGAAACACATCCAACAATTCTGTACAATGTAATAATTTTACCAAACACAACAATAGATTTAGCAATAAAGAATACAGAGAAACAAATGTTATATGCTAAGAAACATATTTGAAATCTCATAAAGAATTTTCTGTTGTGCAAGACAGCTAAAATTATTTACATTCAGTCATTTTACATATTAATAACAAGACTCTAAATCTATACTTTTAATATTAGAAAACAAACAACAAACCAACTGTTGAAAAATCAAGTTTTGGCTAACAATATGATTTGGCCCACAAATGCCCTGGTATGGCCGAGAGTGGGGAAAGTTCGCTCTCCCTCTCCAAATGCTCTCACATGACCATGCGTATATAGCCTCTGACAGGGAAGTCCTACTCACTGCCTTCTAGTGGCATTACTGTTGTTTACGAAACTGAGAGAACGAAAAGCGAATGTCCCACGCTTTAACCGGTTTGGTGGACATGGAAAATCCTGATTCCAAACAAATGATGCACATGGGCTCCAGCATCCTGAAAGAACAAATGGCGTACGAATCAATCGTTGGTCACCGGCTACTATGGGACTGAATCTCCCCACGATGCCCAACTGTCTAGTGGACCAGATCTTTAGGTCAAAGGCGGGGGCTGTTGTACCCTAAGAAAACCACCTGTTCCGGTTTGGGCACCCTGGTAGTATCACAGCCCTCACACAAACCAAATGACATTTGCGGGCGCAAATGTATCTGGTGCTTCCTTGTACCAATATTTATGTGTTTAAATAAATAAATAAATAAGGACAGTAACAAAATAATGCTTAAAAAATGTACTCACAGTTATTGCAATTTATTAAAATCAACTTTTAGCATATAACTTTAATGAAAATTAGTATTTTTACTAGAAGCACTTTTGGTATTTATTATATGGAGCTCTTACACTGAACCAACGAGCACCCTTGAACTAAATCTCAGTTTTCCTCTTCACAGATGTTTTTTGTACTCGAAACGCAACGGTGTAAATAAGTTGTAAGCAGTCGTCAGAAGACATTACAAAATGACTAAAATCTAAGTCGCTTATTCAGAAGGGGAGATGGACCTGTAAGCATATATGCCAAAATTGGCTGAGGATAATATGACCTGAATATACGATTGAAATGCAGATCCGAAGTATAACATTAAAAATATTTATCGAACGTGCTTGGTTGAGGTTGTTCAGTTGCAAAGATTCACATGTTTTCCGATGAGCACTAAGAATAAAACATCCGCTTACACCCTCTTACTTTTACTGGAATACGTTAAGATATCAAGCGGCGCTCCATAAAACACGTTATGTACACGTGACAGTATGAGAGCATCTCAAGAAGTAAAGCGAGATTCATTTATCATAGGTTATATAGGGGTAACTATGAGGTTTAATCAGGAAAATAAAAAGGAACTCTTCAAATTAATGATAACAACAGTTCCTTGTTCGAGATTGGTGATGAAGGTATTCACGTTATTAAAAAATATTAGCCATAAATTAACTTTAATAAATATTTGATAGCAAGCACTGAGAATCCTATATCAATATCTTTAAAATATTTACTGGTAAAATAGATGGGTGATTAAAGAAGTGTGCAGCAACTTGGCAAACACTTCGCATTTGGATAAGAGCAATAATAACGGGACAACTAATTCAATTAGTAGAAAGGAAAAATAGGTAGACACTTAGCAAGAATGTCTAAAAAATACCAACTGACCTACCTTTAATTTAGCATTAGATTCTTTATTCCCAACTGATGGAATGGATGAAACAACAGAGGGAGGTTTGAAATTCTTGGATGAATTATCTGAATTAATAACTGTTGTTGGATTTGAAAAATCATGTGAGTTTAATGGATCTAAATTGACTACTGGAGTGGTATGATGAGAGGTTTTTCCAATAGGTGTCGTAGTAACACATGTACGTTTTTCTGATGTTTGCTGAATAGGAGCAATTAATATGTCAAATCTCCCAGTATCTATATGAGAAAATAATTTTTTTAGTGCGTAAGTCATAATTGTGATAAAGTGAAGATGTTCTCAGTTACGAACCAAATAGCTCAATGGTAGCATCCCAGACTATGAAAACGAATGACCTGAGTTCGAATCCACCAAACATTAGTTAGTCCCCTCAAGTTTGCAGATATTCCTTGCTAATGAGTGGTCAACGAACATGGAACCTATGTCAAAGGGTTTCTAGCAGACTACTAAATATCCAATTACTTAACATTCTAAACTGATATACTTAATTACTATATTTAACACTATCCTAATCATGCAGAAAATAACAAGTTGAATAAATAAATATTACTTTTTGTTGTCTACATTCTGTGACACATGAACTCCCAGACACATAGTATGTGAGGGAAGAAAGTAATTTAGACAACAATATATTAAACCATATTTACGAAAGTCGGTTCTATTGTTTTCACTGCGTAATATAAATTTCTAGATGTAGAAAATGATTTAAAAAAATTAGGGAAACAGTGACCCAGTATTTTCGAAGCATTAATGATTACAGGTCGGAAGCTCATATAGCAATTAAACGAAATAGCTGAAAACTACATTTTTTTTAATAAAAATGCAAGAATAATTCCATTTATTAATCGGTCTATGTAAGCAAATCAACTAGCGTAGAGTAGTGTGGTGATAGAAGTTAGATGACAGTGAGAGAGAGAGAGGTGTTTCAGTGATAAATCAATTGCTAAGATAACAAAACTTATCACAGAGATGTGGAACTATACACACCAAACAACAGAACTTAACACACTAACTAGGGAATTTCTGTACAAGTCGACAGTTTTTGAAAAATGTAGTGATTTGTTAGGTAAAATCTAAACACCTTTTTCACCAATAAAATATAAAGATGGCGAGTTGACCAACAAGATAATGAATTTCAATCGGTTGAGACATGTATTATGTATGGCTAACCATAGCATATCTCAATGAGTGTTGTTTGCTGGCATAGGAGTAGGCTAGACGAAAGTCAGAAGTGACCAGAACAAAATGTGATATCAATCCGTGAAATGATTGGTTGTTGAACAAAGCTATTTCGGTATGTGTAGACTGCCTGGTTGGGACCCGCATAATTATCATGACCAACGATTGTAGAAGTTCAGTGGAAGGGCTCGAAATTGGTCACAATGACACAGATGCGCGCACACTTTGTCTTTCCTTATATTTCGACTTTCAAAATAACCACGAACCTCTTAATCCGAATATTTACTTTAGAATCATATTGTCTGTTTAATCTTCTCACTACTATTACTACTTCTACCTTCTTCCTATTTATTTTGGTAATTTTGTCATTGACATGGTGTGATAACTTGAACCGATGGACATAAGTTCTAGGTTCTATGTTGCTTATGATTAAATGATTCACTATTAAATGTTACCTAATCTTGAATGGAACAAATTATTTTTGCGAATTTTAAAAAAGTTTAGGGAGAAAATTCTGAGCATGAAGAATGGATAATGAATAAAAAAGACTACTTAATATTTATAGGTATCATTACCAAGACTTGATTTGATAATTTTGAATAAATTGAGCATTGGGTAGATTGTTAGAAATAAATTATATATTTGTAATTCGGTTATTTATTCTCTGAAGAAGTGGCTTACACTGAGTCACGAAACGTCAGAAAATCTAATTTTTCTACTCATTGGGATATTACAAATATATAATTTATTTATACTTAATATTTAGTCTAATAAGGGAGGAATGTTATAGTTTAAATTAGATACCAACACTTCGGTTGATTTACGATCAAAACACACGTCCGCACAACACCATATCGACTTGAGGAAGACAGTCATCATACCTATTTCAAAAGGTCGATTTTCACGTCTTAGAAGAGTAGGTGTTAGCGTAGAGCTTGCCTCTGTATATAAAATAGTCCCATCACCAGATATGTAACTCTCACTTTGTGTGGAACTGATATTCTGAATATACGAAACATTCGGTGGGATATTTTCAACTAGCAAATTATCATCTAGACGAGAAGTGGCCTGATTAGATCCTGAGTTCATTGCACTGTTTGGAGTGGATATGTTATTACAGGCCGCTTTTTCAAAAACCTCCTTGGATACGGCTAAAAATAATACAAAACAAATACAAGTGTTATATGATTCGGAGGAAGTAACTAAAATAAGTTTAAATTGATTCATCAAAAATTAGTGACTGAAAAGTAGTTGTACACCAGAATCTGAATAATTCATAAAGAAAATACAAACTGTTTGCAAAAGTCCCAAACGTAGCGGGTACCTTGATGTGATGGTCAGAGTTGTCTATCATGATGACTCAACCGAGCTATACTATACATTTTCCTTTGAGCTCTACCAATGCAAGAAGGTTGGCTCAGTCAGTCGATCACAACGTAGAACTTCGTACGTACGTACATCAGTTCGAGTTGCCATACCACATTAACACAGAGATGCAGTTGTCGATTCAAATCCCATAGTGGTAGAAATAGTAACAGTATAAGCAGTAATCGAAAAGATTAGGGTTTGAAGATGTTATTCAAGGAGTATAATCCAGCGAAATAAATTTGGAAAGAAGAAAAAGATAGAGACATGAAGAATCCAGAAGATTAGAATTCGGGAGAACACAAAGAGTGGATGCACCTTCACCATTGCAAACGATTTTGAGCCATGTCATTCAAGGTCTCTAACAGTCGATTGCTATCATCTCGCGGATCCCAACCAGGTAGTCTACACCTACCAACATGGCTCAGTCCACTTGTCAGTGACTTCATGGATGTGTGCCACATTTTGGTATGGCCGCCCCTAGCTTTCTTCCGACCTACTTCTACACCATAAAACATTGCACGTCGGGGCAGTCGATGGTTTGGCATACGTGACGTGTCCCAGCCATCTCAAATGATAAAGTTTCACTACTTCATCAATCGATTTGCCATCCTTACCTAGTACCCGTTTCCTAACAACTGCATTACTTACTCGGTGGTCCCAGGATATACGAGCAATGCTTTGAAGACACCTATGATCGAATACTAGCAGCCTACGAATATCCTCTACTCTTATCGGCCATGTTTCATTGCCATAAAGTAGGACGGAACGAACTGCTGCGCAGTAAACCCGTACTTTGGTTGCTAGACGGATATCTCGCCTACGCCATAACTGACGCAAGTAGGTGAAAGCTAGTCGAGCCTTCTGCATCCGAAGGCCAGCCTGGGTTTTCTCTGGTCTGCTCTTCACGAGCTTTGGTTAGGCGTCGAAGTATTATTGAAGCTAATATTTTAGACACTACAATAGTCAAACTGATTCCTCTGTGATTGTCACAAGAAGACTTTTGTGTTTTCTTATAGACTGGAAAAATCAGTGATTGAGACCAGTTAGATATGATTATGTCCAGTTCCCAGATTCTACCAAAGACCTCACTCAATCTCGCTGCTAGTACTGGACCGACTTCCTTAAAAATCTCAGGAGTAAACCTGTCAGGGCCTGCTCCCCCTCGCTTCAGATTTCCTATAGCTTTTTCAACCTCGTAAAAAGTTGGAGGACTTACATTAACTTGCCATTCAGGTCGACTGGGAATCGTGGGTAACTGAAGTGTGGCTAAAGGCCAGCTGAACTGACCCCTAAAGTGTTCTGCCCATCGATCCAATATCCTGGATTGAGAGTGAATAACATGTCCATTTTTTCCGAGTTAGTTTCGTCGACAGTTGGGTTCCTAATACCGGTTTCTTTACCAAGTCTGAACAGTTGTCTGTTGTTGCCTATCGCCGCTGCCTTTTCTATCTCTCTTTTATTCGCTACCCACCACTGCTTGCGATCATTGCGTAAGCTTCTTACTAGCCTAACCTTATGCTGACTCTGTTCTTCGCTATGTTCAGAGCCAGGTTGGCTGGAAAACGACAAAACTAAAGGTCTGAGGGCAACGTCGGGCTCGTGATTGTGTTGGGGTGTGACGACATTAAGGTGCTTCCCCCGGACAAATGGCATCTGCAACAATACTACCTTTCCACACTAGAAGGAAAGGGTCGACCCTTAAAACGCCACACTTCACCTTACCCCGCGGGTTTCCGTCTCCTGTGGTAAGGCTTTTTGAAGTGAGAAGCTAACACATCAAGAACTTCCCATAAAAAAGCTGTGCATGAGAGGTCTCAGACAGTTATCCCTTGGGCTCCATAGCCATGCTTTCAGATCGCTAAGACCACCACTAACCTAACAACCGCATTTTTGGGCCTCTCGAAAATATATATCCATCCACATTGTGAAGAGCCAGGAATTGACAACAGCTCTCATACATTAAACAGAACCCGAGGTCATCTTGTTTACAATAAAACCCCTCCTATATATCTTATAAAAGCCTAAAAAGTATGAAGATTTGGTACCTTAATAATAGCTGGGAATGACGAAGAATTTCGGTTATAACAATAGTGAAGTAAAATGACGAACTTTTTCAACAATTTTCTATGGGACATCTTTAGAATGATTACAAACATATATAAATAACGGGAAATAAGCAAACAAATGTGAAAATAAACATGTCATTTGTACTAGAAAAGCCACTAGGAGAAAAGAAATAAAGTGACAGCAAACAATTGAGGTAGAAAAGGAAAGTATACATGTGAAGACAGAGAACAAAATGTATAGGATACTAAGGTATTGAAGAAAATGAAGTGAGCGGACACAGTAAGATGCTTTAGGTTTTGACTTATCCTACTTAAAATAGCTCTTCACTGATTGTGGCTATCTTATGAAATATCATGAAATCACTGCATCTCCATATAACTTGAATCCATATAGTGAAAGCTTACGGAATGACACCAAGTTCAAATTCTCCTTACCCACATTTGAATTAGACAGGAGAGCATGATAAGGTAGGTAGTCGATGAAAATTGATAACATCGTATAGCTCAGAATAATTTGCGATTTCTCAGACAAATTAAATTCCCACTATCTATTAAATCGTCAACTTGTACTCCATTACATCCTTTTTCTTACGTTGTGAAAGAAATTTACATTATATAGGTTCCTAAAATCATCGGCAGTTTCATTTTCCCTCCTTTCATGCTCATCATGTCAACTTTTCAACTACGCCTATGTGAATAGTGGGAAAATTCTACTGGGTCGCATTTAAACCAAATTCTGTTGTTCATAACTAATCAATAGTCGAAACAGTAACATTTTAAAATAGCAAGAATATTTAAATGGTTTGAGGGCGTGTTGCTCTGGTTCATCTTTATCTCAAAATTCGAGCAAACCAGTTAAACTGTTACAAGCTTCACGTAATCCATTACATAACATTCTATCTTCCTTTAGACTTTGAGCTATAGTATTCCTTCATACATATCTTTCCGTTCATCTTTTTAAACTATATTCACAATGTTCGGTCATTGTTACTACCACTGGTATTATATTATTTCGACTGATTTTGCTATTCACCTTTTTATTTCAATTTTGTAATGCTAATGTAGTGTAGCAACTTTGGTCAACACACATCTGACGCAGGCTCTATCTTAAGTCTGCCAGTGTTTATACTATCCGAAAGTTTTTATCCTTACTAACACCCTATCAGTAATGCCCTCATCAGACTGCTTTAGAAAATCCACTTAATTACAATAAACAAGGGCCTAATCTCATCAAAAATCCATGAATTAGTGAAAACGAAAACCTCAACGAAAAAATTTAAACAAACCAAACAATATAGTAAGCAGCATAGTTTTATTCAAAAATGACTCGTAGAGGCCATAGCAATCAAGTTGAGACCTGATTTTTATTTCTAATGGTTTTTGGTTAACTAAGTGTTGCCTTAGTAACGAAAATGGAGCATTCAAATAATTTTGTTCTCCTTCGAACTAGGATTACAATCCAATGAACTCAAAACTTTTCATGGTCTTCACTAATATTCCAGAACGTAATTTTTAGGAAATTATGGGAAAATAACAGAATATATATATATATATATATATATATATATAATTACGCTTTACAGACAATTTACTATCAAATAGATGATGTGGCTAGTAGAAGAATCGAGGGTGTGCCTTTAGTCTTATTCGCGACATGTCAGCTAGATAAACCTGCACTCCAGAGTTGCTGTCCACCTTGAGATTCAAATCCGGTAACTTTCATTTCGAACATACAAAGTGTTATGCACTTATATCAACTAGTACTGATCAAATTTCAGTTAAATTGCCAACCTTTGTAAACTTAATTAAAATTTAATATTAGTTACTTGATGGATGATTCAATTTGAAATTTTCAAGTATATTACTGTTTGTTAAAACGTCATATTAACATTGAACTTATCGACATGTAAGTTTGTAGAAGTCGACGGAATAAAAATGAATTTCTCGTTTACTCTACGAGCTATGTTATTTTTGCTTTATTGTAAAATATGTGAAGGAAACTCATTAGAGGTATTTTTCAAAAGTTGAACACGTACCATCTTTAATCAGATGAAATCCATGTTTTCTACCTTCTTCTAATAGCATTCGAACGAAAAGACGCACAGATTTTTCTCCTGTAAAATTAAAACAACGGTGTAGTCAAGGAGATCAGCAACAAGAAAAATTTTGGTTTTATATAGATATAAACTAAGGATTTAATTGGCAGGATAGTTAGCAAAACTCAACGACAACACTGTCATGTTCGCCTAAAAACGTAGGTATGCAATACTCAACAGTAAAAGGGGGACAAGTATAAATTGTAAACTTTTGATCGTCAAGTTCATCCGAAAATAAATTAATAACATTTGATAAGTAATTTCAAAACTGAAAGATAGTGTTCACAAGTTATTATACATTAAAAAAATGGTTAATATGGGGCTATTAATCACAAAGTAATCCATACAGTTAACATTGCCCTTCGAATTTTTTTCAACTATTGCTTTGGTATCATTGAGAATGATCTTTTGTACATCAGTTACCTTAGATGAAACTAGGACAAGTTACAGCTTTAATTACTTCTCAATCGAAGGTTACTAACAAGTGAATTAGGGCAGTTGTTTCTAATCTTTACTTACAGATCTACAGATTAGACTATCAATGAATAAATAAGTGATGTACTCATCACGATAAGATCCTATGTTTAGACTAGACCAACACAACATCCTTATCATTACTTTTCGTGAAAATTACACAATAATTATTGTAGACGTTTTACAATTTTTCGATCATAGCTATTGAGACTGGAAACTGAATTGCTTTTGAACTTGAGTAGAGCTTCTAGTTGAACCAAATGGTCATATATGAGTATGGATAACTATTTGCAAATAAACGATATATATGAATACAACCCTGTTATAAATTACACTTAAAACCCTATGAAACAGGACAAATTTATTTTCTAATCAATGTGTCAAGAACACGTCGGCTGAAGTTATTCAAGTGTTATGATACAACAGAAAATCGGTAGGGGAAGCTTCATCGAACGGACATTCAGACATTTTAAATTCTTGTAAAAGGGTGAAAACCTACATTTACGCAATAAATCGAAAAACTAGTAACATTACATAGAAAGACAATCTTTCAAAAGCTAATGCAAATGGACCTACTTGGTACGTCTTTAGGAAATCGAAACTCGTACTTGAACTTCTCCACTCTCGAGATGCTAGTTTTCGTTTCTAATGTGAAGTATTCAATAAGCTCACGACTGAAGAGATCAGCAGAGGCAAAGCCAGTTATGAGATATTCCATAACTTTTGATGCTCGTTCAACCTGAAATAAGACGAATCTTAGTTTTTGAGGAATTTTGATCATAATTATGGCGAGATTTTAAACACAATCATACTCTTCAGGTATAAATATCTGCCTTATTTTCAATGTAAATAATTTACTACGACAAAAGTATGACAAATCTTATTTGCTGAAATAGGAATATATCTGGAAATAAGACAGACACTAACTGCATACAGAAAAAGAACTAATTAAGTATGTACAGCATTTGATGTGTGTTACTATACGAATAGTAAATAAAATGTTTTAGATGATAAAAACATTTTTAAGGTTAACAACACAACAGATGAATTCGTTACACATTGTCAGACACCTTTGTGATAGACATTCACAGAATTAGACTGTACTACTATATTGTATATGTAATTAAGGAATAAGTCCATTATGCGAGAACGTTGGGGAGCTACTCATCAAAATATGTTCGGAAATAAATAAAGAAGTCTTTGAAAAAGAGAGCCAAACATTTGTTTTGACTAGATAGGTGAAAGAGTATCAGCCTTATATCACATGAAAAAAGGAATTCAGAATTTTCTAATACTTTCACACTACAGCGATTGACAGAACCATCCTTCCAAGAGATCAAGCAGTAGTTCTGAAATGGTTTTTTTTAATAAGTCTTCAGTTAACAGACATCGTATTGTTGTTATCAACGACACAATACACAACAGTTTTCCTTCAGTGTCATCAATCACTTATTAGTGCATTTAAAATATACAAGTATTCACTGCCGGCAAAGTTTATGAAGACTGACCCAAACCTAGTATAAAAACATTTTTCCACCAAATTATACAATATCAGAGGTAAATACTATGATATAAAAGAATACCTGAGCGTTTAATCAAAGCTAATAGCCGAAATGAGTGAACTGAAGCTAAACCATGTATACAAATGGCGTTTTCTGAAAACAACCATTCGACCCAAAAATAAAATCATTAGTTAAGAGCCATAAGACAAGTATCTCTCACTTTTCTTGGGGTAGTCGTGCAGCTGGGGAAAACAGACCCGGCAACAGATTTAGCAACAGCTTCCACAGACATAGCATTAACTTCAGTATGATAGATCATTCGAAACCAGATGCCGAATAGTAGAGCAAGTAACTGCTGAACAGGCTTTGGTTGGGAAACAATCACACTAAAAATGTAGGAATGGTAATCAGAACACACGTTTTAAAAAGTATTCAGGCCATCAGTTTGTCGAAATATCCATAAGAATAAAAAATATGAAGTTTTTGTGTTGCCTATCATTAAAATGGCGTAGATGTAATTTAAGCCTTGACTCAGGAAATAATCTGATGAGTGATTCACGACGTCAATGGCCCACCTTGATTTCCGTCATCGTCGTGTTGATGCGAAGTGTACCATACTGCCTAGACTGCTACATATTTAAGTTATGAGATCAATAATGGACAAGTATCAACATGTTAGAACTAAACATTTCAGAAGATAAAGCACGCATTTATCAGGAAACCTGCTATAGCTCAATCTTCGTAACAAGAAAATGAATTCTTAAATAAGTGTGTACAAATCTGGTTCCCCCTTAAATCAACATTTGTGTTCAAATATATAAATAAATTCTTACAAAAATATTAATTTTCATACAACTGAAAATAATTGTATTTGAAAAAAATCTGTAGCTGCATGCACTTTGAGTTTCTATTACCTAAGTTAATGTACTGCATAGAAGAGCAGAAGTGTGATTGGCGTTTTCATAAACTGAGATCAATAACTTTAACAGGGGTGTATGAAGCACTCACCTTCAAATTCCAAGTAATTTTCACCACTGACTGACAGTTCTTTACAAAACAAACACTAGACATATCTCCCACTTTGCGCAAACTGCATAACAAGTCTCAGCTTATGTAGCTTACATTTACGACGGAGCAGCGGTACTGTCAGATTAGGCTTTCGCAAAGTTCTAGGTGTGGTCCCTGCATTACCCCGTTTTGGTTTGAGAAGTCTGGTAGTTTTATTGACCCTCGTACAGAAAATGTGGTTAAATAACAAGTACGTAAATATGTACCTGGTAATACCTATTGCACATGCACGTGCGAAACCAGAATCTCCGAGTTTCTTCGTATGGACGCCATTGGTAAGTAACTGACTCCACATTGTGGCAACAATATCAACGGCTCTGTTGATATGCTCGATAGCTAGAATTTGTGAACTTGATTCAGTTGAAGCTGTAAATGACCATAACACTAAACTGAGTTAGTTAATCAGAAAGATGAAACTATCAGACCATATACCAGGGCAGTAGACGTAGTGACGGTATCACCAAACTTGAAGGACCGTTCTGATATCAGGAAATAGTAAAAACCCAACAAAACAATCGATGTAATTTTAACGATTATATATGATTACTATTACAATGATCAGTATTTAGAGACTTCTACACAACAAAATCAATTCAAAGTGAGCAAGTATAGTAAAATTTAGTTCTCTTGCAAATTGTATGCAGCAAGAGAAGCGGGACAAGTGAGTATCATGATTTGATAGTTAGTGAGTGGGCTGTACGTTATACACTATTAAAAAAGCAGGATTGGTATCTATGCCTGAAGACTGACAGATAAACATTAACTAGAGACCGTGGTTTTGTATAAACGCCTGCTTGAACGATTAGGAAAACGATATTACTAAGAACCGCACTACGACATAAAGCAAAATGTTTCAATAAACGATACGAACTTTTAGAATTATACTAACCAGTGCATTGCTTCGATGCGGGCTTGATCATCTGGAATGTCAAGAGTAGAAAGCAGTTGCTCTTCAGATTTAGGACCCAAAATCCCGCCCTCAATATGCAGCAAATACCGTTTGGCAATATTTGCAAGGGTATAAAAGTTGTAATCTGTCCATCTAATTGGTCTCCCGGCTTCAAGGTCGGAGATAATCTTTTTCATATCTTGTTGGTTTCCAGGTCTTCTGAACAAATCCGTTACAGCTACTCCCTCACGAGCAATGTAAACCAATAAATCCTAAACGACCATATCAAAAACAAAAAACCTACTCGAATTTGTGACGGTATATTCTGTGATTTAAAAGATTCATTAATCTTTACATTGAATAACACTCTGGTTAGGCGACGAGACAATCCATGTCTTCGACAAACACATTTTCGGATATTTTCAAATAGTGGCATGTGTATCATATACTTTGGAACATTATTTAGAGCGAAGCAAGTATCAAGCACGTAAGGAAAGTAAACACAGTGAATGAACTATAGCGGTTCACGTCTAGCTAGAAGGTAATTTGTGTACTTGGAAGGCATGTAATGTCAGTGAGGAAAGCTGCAAAACAAAGAATAATAGAAGTTCAACAACTAAGCCAGAGCAAACAATGTATATCCATTTGTTAGGTGGAACAATCAATAACAACCACAAATTGCGCAAGTATCAGGTCAAGACCACCAACCTGCTACAGAACTTACAACCGTACCCGGCGCCAGACCAGAAGTTGGGGATTTTCATATGCTCAATATTCACTTCAACTCACAAGGTACAGATTTTAAATTTTCGTTCTAGAAATAGAATACTCAAAATACCTTCTACTTTTTCCTTCACAATTATTAACTTTTTCGCCATTTTTCTGATCAGATCGACAGGATATTCAAAAATCTCCGTTTTTTAAACTGTGTACTAAAATTCATAAAGAGACTAGAAAATCTATGGAAACATTTACTGTCAAACTAAAAAAATCGTTCTATGGCCTTCAAATATCTAGCAAAAAGAGAACTGATTATATTTTATGAGATTCATGCTTCTAATACCTCGGTAGTTTGATAATTTTTGTAGACATAACTAAATAACATATTTTCCCTCTGATTAAAGACAATATATGTATTTTCATTTTTTTAAAGCTAAGTTTTATTGGCTCTATTTTCTAAACGAATAGTATAATGTTGATGTAAACATTGGCCCTCCTAATTCCATTCCACGTAGTCTGGCAATTTTGTTAATAAATCGAAATTTATGACTCACCAAGACATTCAATTGATTAATCCGATAACAAAGATGTTTCCTAAGAATCCATGTAGACAATATAATCTTGTATAATAATGGACACGATATTTATGAACCTTTAGAGGAGAGATGTGTTGAGCTATTTTGTTATCAGATATAGCAAAGACTGACTACCAGATTTATTCAATTAAATCCACAAGGTCTGGAAAAAAACTAGATAGCTACTAGATAGCTTCTTCGTTATAAACCTCAAAAGACTATGTAAGTATTTCTTCCCCATCCGAATTCTGAAAGCTTTATTCACGCAGGTTCGAAATTCATAGTATTTATGTGAATATTCTTTTGAGGTTCAGATAAAGGTCCATATATATTTATGGACTGATGCGTCAATCGTTTTACATCAAAAATGTCATCCTTGTGTCTAACATCTGAAGAATAAGCAGTGAAATTTACTGAAGTGCGCAAACTTTAAAGTTTATTTACACTGATGCATCAATGTTAAGCCATGTTGATATGTTTATTTATTGAAATGAGGTAATCTGATAACCAGCAAATATTGTACGAACAAACAACATCATTTGACCAGTGAAGAATTAATTCGTAGCTGGTATCATCAAAAACACATGAGCGAATACGCAATTCATTGATTTAAAGGTGCCGTGGGTATCTAGGTTTTCACGTCCTTACACGAAACACCATTATTATCGAAGGATACTAAGCCAGTCGAATAAGATGTTAGAAAAGGTTTGAAGGTATATTTTGAAAGCTATCGATATATTGAGAGGCGTTTGGCTCAAGCTGGCTAGTAGTAGTAAGGGATGTGAGCATAGTGTAACCACTTGTTACCTAGTGCGTATGTAGTGAACAGAACACTAGTCGGGGACAATCGAATGTATTTAAGCAAAGATTACAGACTATGTCAGTAAATTCTGAAAACCATACAATGTACAGTCAATTTGCAAATTAACAACCAATTGTTTCAATCTTCACTGTTTCTTCTCTTATTCCATTGCTCATGCATTTTCCAGACGATGGCGTTTCATTTCAGTTCTTTCCTCATCGGTCTTCTGCCAAAATACATTCTATGTCTGACCCACACCATATACTACTTATATGGATATAAGTAGACCACACCACACGTATGCTGAAACGGATGCCTTCAGTTAGGGTGTGCCCAGAACTAATGAGGTCAGCTTTAACATCGAAGACCTAAAGAACTACTTACTTTGAGTATTTGTTTACTATTGCCGCTCATCCCTCTTTGGGAGAGGGTAGTGATTACCTAAGATATGGCTAGTCACGGACTAAAACTGAAGGAGCTTGAGGTGTGTAAGCACTATTGGTACAGCTTGCTTTGTTCAGTAGCCTCTGATCGTCTTTCAACAATATAAGGGGCCATGTGTTGCAATCATCTAATAAAAAACGCAAAATGAAAATTTCTATCTCAGTCGTCCTGGAAAAAAGTGAGAACGTAAATTTATTTCGAAGTACATTCGTACGTACGAAAAAAACTGGTATACATACGTAAAAAAACACGTAACACTGCGAAAGATTTCACACAATGGTTTTTTGACCAATTTTGAAGGAGAAATATACACATATATGAGCATACCGGAAAAATGTTTTTGACACAAAAAATAAGCAAACAAGCCAAGATAAAACGCGACTCAATGTCTTACGCGCAGAATCGTTCAGATGTTCTGAGAATCTTATCTTTCTTCCTGGGAGAGTTGCTTTAGACAGGTTTTCAGGTTTCAACATCACCGTTTATCGTCGGAGGAGGCGATGAAGGACTTTGAAAGGTTCTTCGTTTAAGTCCATATTCAATGAAGAGGATGAAAGATCCAATAAGTCTCCTGGAAGTCGGTGTGGCATTTCGAAAACTAATTTGGTCTCAGCGCATCTATCATCAGATTCCACTGCATTGAGGATACCGATTAAAGCGAGTGGAAGAGCCTCAGTCCATCGTAAAGTTTGCAGCTGAGAATCAAGCTTTTAACTATCTATAAAATCGTTCTATTAACACTTTAGGTTCTGTGTGATAGGCGGTCGATCAGAATCATGTGAGTTTCAGAAGTGTAGTAATAATAAAAATAATAAAATATATGTTTTGAAAATAATAATTACAGAACTCATGCCAGTTCACAGGGATGATCTATTTGATATAAATAGTAACATTAGGTGTAGAGAAAAAACTTGTGATATAAGATTGTTTTACTAAACGTGTATGTTTTAATTGGTGCACAGGAATCTAGAATAAAGTTAACGATCAAATAGAATTTGTCCATGGCATCCATGAGACTACTACATGAGAAAAATTTATCTAAGTCGAAGATTTTAGTCAGTGAGCGCAAGAGGTCCAAGTGAGTATGTTAACAGTCTCAATATTGACAGGTTTTTTTTAATGAGTCGGTTATAAGGAAGGTAGATGGAGAGGGCATAAACCACTATCTCGTTGTTGCTGCCTTCAAATTCATTGTATACTTGTACAAATGGTGGGATGAAATCTCCACTATATATCATACCAATTATATTATCACCCCTTGTTGCTGTATGAACCCACTGTGACTAGCAGTGCAGGTTAATGATTGCCGAAAATTCGTCATTACTCAACTTACTACTACCGAAACTCTAGTTACTCCCAGGATAATTGAAATCTCCAGTGATAGCCTTAGCACTGAAGTTCAGAGCAAATGCATGTATAAACGCATTGATAATAAGATCATTCACGTTATCTGAACTATCAGGAGCTCTGAATGAACATCCTAGGATTACACTATGATTCACGGTGTTGATTGATATTCAGACTGATTCTGGTAAACTATTCAGGATATTATCTCTAACTCTATTAGTTATAAGGGTATCCAAAGCGAATATAAGACAACCGTCTGCTCGTTTAGTTTCTCTGCCACAGCGATAGAGTCGACAGTTCTGGATATTTAATTCGGAATCAGCTACTACTGGATAGCACCATGTGTCAGTGATAAGTATGAAAGAAGGCTTGGCTAGAAAGGCTCAGGTTCTCAAGGTTGAAATTTTGTTCATAAGTGAACGTGCATTGATAATTAGTAAGTTTGAAAAGGGAGTATGTAGTGTAAAAAACCGAGAGCATCCTTATCGATGGTATGAGTTCTAGACAAGCCTGGACTATGGTTTAGTGTGTTTGCCTGATTGTATGAACTATAGCATGAGCGAATTGTAGTGCTAGTAGAACAAGGGATCTCTGGAGGCCGAAAAGAAATCCTTATTTTGGTAAGGTGAAATAATTTGTTGTAATTGTCTTGGTGGACAGTTATGACAGACGCCTGCTAGTTGGGGTTGCGTTGATGGTGCGTAACCTAGTATTCCATCTAACTCATTGCGAAAGTGATGGGAAGAGTTACATCTTGCAGGTTTAATATTTATAACATTTGAGGGTAACCATGAGGCACATTGCCGTCTGTCTAATAGTAGGCCTGCTTACATGATGGTTGTAGTGGCCGTCTCGTGTGACGTTTGAACGAAATGTGTTCTTATAACCTCCCTTACGATGAGTAGGATAAAGCATGGTTTCGGAAAGTATGTTTTTGTACGGTAAGGCCATTGAAACATTTTTGGTATTTGGTCTAGAACCATAAGGTTTTTTATCTACTTTCTTCTTAATCGGAATATTCTTTTTAGTTTTAGCAGTGTTTTTAGGAGCCTTCACATTAGAATTAGGTGTTCGATTGTGGGCTTCAGATATTACACTGGAAAGAATCGCATTGGTGTCTCCATTAGATATTCATTGGTTATCTAAGGTCACTAGAGGTATGAGAGATGGACTAGCACTCTGCATTGGTAAATCAGTGCACTGTCTAACATGAGGTGGTATAGCTGCACCAGTGGGTTCAGCTACTGACGCGACGGGATTTGTTGTGACCTCAACAGTGTTATTTTCGTTTAAGATACGCTTTTGCGTAAGTCTTTGGTTCGTGGTCTTATCTGAAAATATACGAGCGTTTCTAAACTTCTTAAGCGCGCAGATTATCCGTTCAGATTCTTTCAACTGCTCAGCAAATAAGTGGAAATCGACTTTAAACAAGATTACTTACTTACTCTTGTTACGCCCAAATGAAGCATAGGCCGTCGTCGAGCAGCCTCCAACCCACTCTGTTCTGGGCCTTCCTATCTAGATCTATCCAGTTCTTGTTCATTCTTCTCATACCTGTCTTCATTTCTCGGAGTAATGTGTTCTTTAGTATTCCCCTTGTCCTTTGGCCTTCAGGACTCCATGTAAGGGCTTGCCTTGTGACACAGTTGGGTGCTTTCCTCAATGTGTGTCCTATCCACTTCCAGTACTTCCTCCTGATTTCTTCCTCAGCTGAAATCTGGTTTGTTCTCTCCTACAGTAGTTTGTTGCTGATGGTGTCTAGCCAACGGATCAGAAGTATCTTGCGTAGACAATTGTTAATAAACGCTTGTATCTTTTGGATGATGGCTTTCATATTTCTCCAACTTTCCGCCCCATACAGTAGAACTGTCTTGACATTGTATTGAAAATTCTGATCTTGATGTTGGTTGACAATTGCTTTGAGTTCTAGATGTTTTTTCAGTTGTAGATATGCTGCTCTTTCTTTGTCGATCCGTGCCTTCACATCTACATCAGATCCACCGTGTTCATCAATGATGCTGCCAAGATATGTAGGGTTTTATCTAATCAAGATAAGGCACGAGTATTTCTGTTGCTTTTTATTGAATCGAATGCATTCTCATGAACTGTCTTGGAGGTCAGCTGCCATTAATGTGAAATTCCTTACAGATTTAATGGCGATTTTGTGAAGTATGTTGTGGACAATCACGTTATTTCGAGAGACAATTGTCTAAGTAACTTCGCTAGTGTTCTACATTGATACTGTCTTCAAGTTCCCCAAGAATTATATCCTTTGACATTATCAGTTTAAGGGAGGATAGTGTCTTTAATTCTTGCTTAAGATAATCATGCTTTGATAAAAAGCCCTCCACTTTAGAACGCACATTCCTTTATTGTTTATACATAGTGTCTAATTCACTCCTAATATTATTGACACTTTTTGATCTTGAGGTAAAACTCATTGCTTAAGTAGAAGTTGAATCATCCAGCAGCATATGTGATATAAGTCCAATCCCAAAACTATTTTGTTCAAAAGGTGATGCAGAGCATGGGTATAGCTATTGACAAAATTGTTATTATCTGAAGAATAAGAGTTTTCACGTGCTCGTTTTACGGTCGGTCGACCCATTTTCATTCAAAGGCTAATTCTAATACTATTAATGAGTTATACACTACGATTCAACGATATATAAGGACTTTGTAAAAGATACCGTGTAATCATAACGCAAACTTCAAAGACAACGGAAAAGTCGAGATACAACATGATGTCGATGGTGTGGGGCGATAGTTGAAGAGCTGACGAAATTTGCCACCCATCGTTCGACAGAGACTCATGCCACCGCTTTAGCAGTGATGTCCTTGACAAGTAATGTTTCTGGCCGTCATATAAATGGTTCATGAACAATAAGAGGTGAGATTGTTTACATGAATCTGACAAGAGTCCTAACAAATGAAGCCGAAAATGGTCGAACCGAAAGTTGCAAATTAGCCTAAGGGACATCTGTTTTGTTTAGCCACCTTATTCGTACCAGGCCAACAAACCACTTGGTTGTCAATCAAGTGGATGAGTAAGTTTGCGCACCGTGTAACGAACGGTGCTTCGATAATGTTTCGGCATGCTCAGACGGTCTCTACTTGCAGATATGTAACATGGAAACGTTTCTTTACCTTTCCCATCTGTTGAATCTGTAGTTTCAAGGGTATCGCGAATGTCTTGTGCTGGAGATCAGTATTTTCTTTCTGAAGCTGAGCGAGTTCAAAATCAATTCTTTGGGAACTGTTCGAGGACCATGTACTGGACAACGCGTAAGCAACTACATTCTTTGCATCAGAAATGTCATATGTCGAAAGTGAACTGCCGAAATAGTCCAGTTTTCAAGACTCTTAAGGGGAATTCTTCTCTGAACACGAGCTTTAAGGCAATATGAGAGATTAGAAAACAGAGTGAATTATAAACCTTCCACATAGTGTTGAAAGTGCCTTTCAGAGCGACACATAGTTGCGAGTTTTCTACTGAAAGTGAAATACCTTGATTTAGGGTCTTGCAACCGCCTCAAGAAGAATGTCATGTAATGTTGCCATTGTTGCATGAATCCTTCGGTTTCTGAGTCAGATGCATTTGTCATAAATCATTAACAGAAACTTGCCAGGCAATTGTACATGAGTAATTGCTTGACTGATGTCGGACATAAATAGTTCGGAATGTCTGCTAATTTGTATTATGGAGTGTGAGTACCCTAAGTTGCAACAGTACGTTCGACCTACAGGCAGAAAATGAAGTTCCACAAACGTGATCTAGTTTTGCAGTCCACTGGCCTCTTTTTAAACGCGTCGACAGTGGATTGTTGTAGCAGATCTTTGATGATGATTGGTGCATAAACATCTAGAACAAAGAAGATCGAGTGGATTGATTCTCGAAAAACTCACGCTTGAGTGAACATATCTCTAATCGAAAGCAGTTTTTCTTTTCCCACCAGTAAGTTAAAGATCGATTTATGAGGACGGCGATTAGGCTTCGCAGGATAAGCGCATACTTCCACACTAATGCCGATGAGATAGCGAAATTTTGTCACATCGCTGTTCGATAATAGACGACCACGTACGCCAGCTACGGTTGCCATAATCGCGAGCAGTTGGGGACGTTTTTCGAAAGGTTCCACGTGTTAAATGGTGGAGAGATTAGGAAACTAAAGCGTTTTCCGCAGTTTCTATGGGATTTACCATACTTATTGTGGTGCCAACATCAATCAGGATTATCTGTCTCTCATGGTCTAAAAACAGAACTTTTCGTGACGGGTTTTGGAATATGAACATTAAGATAGCAAATGAGAACGTGACGGTAAACTGCAACGTCACTTAATGTCGGTCGCGGCTTTTTTATGGCACTTGAAGTCGTTGTAATCTCCCGAATTAAATCGACAGATGTATCCAGTTCGTCTACGTTATTTCAGAATGAGACAGGACCATCTGCAGCTGTTTGAGAAGCTTAGATGAAAAGTGCTGTCGTAAAACGCTTGTTGTCTATCGGGGCTCGACACGATGGTGCAGAGGTTACTAAGGGTTTCACGTCCTTACACGAAACACCATTATTATCGAAGGATACTAAGCCAGTCGAATAAGATGTTAGAAAAGGTTTGAAGGTATATTTTGAAAGCTATCGATATATTGAGAGGCGTTTGGCTCAAGCTGGCTAGTAGTAGTAAGGGATGTGAGCATAGTGTAACCACTTGTTACCTAGTGCGTATGCTGAAACGGATGCCTTCAGTTAGGGTGTGCCCAGAACTAATGAGGTCAGCTTTAAAGTTGAAAGCTTAAAGAACTAGTTATTTTCCACGACCGGTTATTGATGCGACGAATTTTGACTCACAACACTTGAAGATTCTATTCCTGATCCTTCTCAAATGAATTTTACAGAGCCCTTACTTTGCACGAATTACGACGTGAGTTTTGTGATGCTGCGAGATACAAAATCTAGGTCCTTCATATCAACGTTGACTATAATGGAATCTTAACTGCTCGCTATCATAACCAGTCTCAAAACTCAGTTGGATGTTCCGACCACCAGTCTTTCGTTCCAATGCCCAAACCATGACCTCGTACATCTCAGTTTTTGTGGCACATACTGTACCCTTATGCATCTAAACTCGTCCCCTTGCTGGTATGAAGGATGTGTATGTCAAATCAATCTAATAACTTATCACTGCAAATTTGGTGCACTTAATATTCATATTATTAACTTAAATCTCCTGGTGATATGATAAATAGATGTAGCTGCAGATGTGACTTTTAGCATTCCGTTCAGTTAAACAAAAATGGTTAAAAGAAAAATGTTGGAGTGCTGAGGATTACCGTTGTTAGTATTACATACGTGATTTAATATAGGGGTTTATCCGAAGCATAAGACAAATAAATAGAATGTGGAAAGTAACACAGTGATTATATTATAAAGATTAAAAAAATCAGGATTGAAAAAACCAGTCGCGAAATTGATAAATTTTGCATCCCTTTTTCGGCCAAAAGGTGAACACTAATGCGTGTCCATTGCAACGACTAATCGTGTGAAAATTGCGAACGGTGATGGCTTTTGTGACAATTCCCTCCCGTAATGAGAGTCCGCCGAAAGCTGAGAAAGTAAATAACAGTGTGATGGTTAGATACAATACCACATTGAGTTAAGGTATGGAAAAATTCGTGTTCAGACAATAGTCTCAAAGCTAAATGTTACTACTATTGTCATAATTAGTACAAATTTATAATAACGCTTCCACAACTTAATAGGAAGGTACAGATTCTAAAATTTAACACCACATACCAGAATTCTCGTCGTTTGAGGCCCGACTGAATATAGTGATTAACTTGTAAAGGTTCTCGTTATCAATGTTAAGGATAGGGTCTGTTCAGTCTTCGTTGGCATATGTACATCGTAAAGGGATTTTCTCAATACTGCCATTTAGTCACAGGCTTTTATTAAGGTTGGATGGTGTGTAAATGTGGGATGCAAGGGGCGCGTTTAACCCTATTTGAGAGGCCTGGTAGGTAATCGGAATCAGCAACTCAGTGAATAAAATGTTGGTGCTTAAGCTGACAGGTAATGGGTTCGAATCTCCATGTGAACATCAACACTGAGAGATGCAGGAACATTCAGCTGATGAGTCTCAAATAAGGTGAAATGCGTCTATTGGATTCCACCATTATTCACCATAAAACCTCAATAAAATGCCATTTAAATACAGTGAGAAACATCTAACTACAATCGAAGCTAAAATAAAAACAACTCTCAAGGGAAATTGAATACTTCTTATCATTAAAAAGCTCTTTATTTTTCTTGGAAACTTACTCCTTTAGCATTGTCTGATGAAACATCTCCACGAGCCACAAGCAATGCATAAACTTGATCAGAACGAACATCAGGAAATTGACGTTTCAAATTCTATAAGCAATACACATACATAAATATTGATAAATAAATTCCGAAAAAACTCAATGACATTATGTGTCAGAGGTGATTTGTGATACAGGTCTGATACGCGTAAATGAATTCATCGTTAGTAGACCTTTTAAAGTCTAGGGACTCTATTTTCTGGCACAAAGAGATGAGGATCATAACACGGTAATTATAATATAGTATTACAGAAAGTAAGTAACATATGACAAAATTTATGTATTTAAAATGATCAAACGTCTCTGAAAATGTATTTTTTGAAATATTACTGATGGATAATGAACCAATGTTCTTACAAGCATGACTCGAACTATCTCTAAATATCTTTAAAATGTATTTATGTAATGATTTTAATCTAGTTTTTCTTAGAATTCATGAGATTTTAATGATAGAATCCACTGTACATTTGTTATGCTTTTAAACTTTTTTTCTACTGATGTATATAAAACAGGAGAAATGTATGGTGTGCTTGACTGGTGCATGATCTATACAGATCCTTATCCTACAATTGTTCATCTTAAAAAACTATAAGTCAGATAAATTTTGTATGATATGTTATGACATCAACTTCCATACGCCTACCCAATTGGATTACTAAATTATTGAGTTCACTAACAGTAAATTTGCTTTGCGTCTATCGGACCAAAGAACTTCCCTTAATCCAATGACACAAACGATCACCAACAATACTCGGATATTTTAACCTCCAATTCATGGGACGAAACTGATCAGTTACATGACCACAACGCAGCACAAACAAAAAATTACAATTTGTATGCAATTAGACTATACGTCAACACAAGGCTGTGAAGACTGTTGGACAACCGCTTAAAATCTGGAGGCACTGAGTAGCCATTTCATCTCTTTATGGGACTCCTGTGCAGCGCGCATACACGACTCCACAACAGGGGATTGGATCCAGAACCTTCAGTATCGAGTGCGAATGCATAAATTTTAAACCACTGAACCAGGATCCAATGGTGTACAAGTCCAACTTCGATTCATCTTCCACTGTCTTCGGTGAGTGGCCTCTTGACACCCCACAGTTATATGTGATACAAAACTAAGTTAAAGATGCATGATTAATAAACAGTGAAACATATGCCAGCGGCTAATCATTTAAGTGAAAACTTAAGAGAAAAGAAATTTACAAATACAACAAACCAAATATTTAATATATATATGCCGCAGAAGGATTCGTAAAGGTCTACCTTTCATGACTTATTTACACGTACTTAACACAAGTACTTTAGTCTATTTTAAAAAATTAGTGTTTTTACAAATAGTTATTTCGACAGATAATTGTTAGCTACTAATTAATTACAACAACAACAACTTACGACCTACGGTGGTTGGTTTATATAACATATACGAATGTATAATTGAATTTTGACAACAATAAGTATTAACCACAAGATAGATGTAAGAAGCACAAAAATGTAGTGAAACTAATGTGCAATATTAGTCTAACAATGAGCCATGGTTACTACAATAGGCTAACACTTTAGAAATGTTGACTGAAATAGCAGGTTTACAACGAAAATCAAGATTTTGAACAGTATTTGATGGTTAATTAACAAGAAAAGTGAACAAGAGATAACATCACAAACTGCATCCATTCATATAAGCAAACACTTACAGCAATATCCAAGGGTAACATTGATGTATCAGTTGTAAGGAACAACTGACCGATAGTTGTTAGAGCGTCGTAGGCCACAATTACCTAAAATTGTTTAAAAGAAATATAAATATATGTCCTGCAATATTTGGTAAATAAATGCCATTTACTGAGTTCTTAGATTTACAGTTTCCTAATTGGAAATATTTATAATGACGATGGTCTCGAACTTCCCGTTATTGAGAATCAGGACTGAAAATGATCAGCAGATTGCCTCGAAAAAGAGATGTCTTGTGTTTTAGTATATTTGGTATTTGGCTAGCAAAGGAGACTAGGAAGCACGTTCAATTCTTCTTGAGAATTGGTAGCTGGATGTATCCTTATTCCAGTGCTGATATCCACAGTGAAACGCGTTTGAGACAAAATATACTGAGTTCAAGACTCACTGTGAACATTGGAAAGCAGATATACCTAGATGATGAGTCTTAAATACAACAAAACATAGAACTAAGATTGCACCTCTATCCACACAACAAATGCACTCAGTTCCTTTAGCAACTTTTGAAGTCTAATTTACTGGTCAAATGTATTACTAAGGATTACCGGCTGCTTTTAATAGTATGTCATGCACGTAGTCAAAATGTCGTATACTGATTGCAGAAAAGAAATAATAGTATTGGATTCTGACTGTTCTGAATCTCAGTGGATGAATAAAACGCTATGATGACTCTGTCAAGAGATCTTTACCACGTAGTTTAAAAACATTAATATTTTACTGATAGTGAGTGAATCGGTTACACAAGGCTTTAATGTTAGAAGCTTTAGGTGAGTTAACTCGTTACATTTAATGCCTTAACACAGATGATGGTTATCCGTGGATTAAGTTAAATTATGTTATTTTAACGGTTGATCTTTTTTAACTGTCTCCCTCATACAGCACTGCTGTAGATGCTGGTTGTCTAAGGGAAATATCTTACTGCCAACACATACTAGTACAGTCAGTAGTACAAATTAGCCATAGAACTTTAACTCAGTGTTTCTAGTTTTACGGTTCCCCAACAAATTTATCTGGTGAAGTAAGGTCTAAAGGAATAAATGTTTCAGTCAAAAGAGTTTGATTGAGTCATCATCAAATATAACCACCATGTTAAGATAACAGCGAAAGTCAGATTACATAAAAAGCAACGAAAATTATTTTATTGGATATGATGCTCTCTAAATTGTGGCGTATTCTTTGTTTTGAAAAAATACATAACATATACCCCATATCCTAAATGATAAATTAGTTAATAATCAATATAAATCTACTTACTTCACTTTTCACTTTCATTTTCTCTTCAAAATAATTTTTCAAATCATGTCCATCTCGTGTAATTTTTTCACCAGCTTTTTTTCTATCAGCTTCTGTAGAAAGTGGACTTCGTCTATGCACAATAAGATCAAAATAAACATACACAGTGGAAAATTTCATTTCCGTTTTGTTTAACAATATAATGAAGTGTTCAAAGTTCACCATATTCCATGCTTCGTTTAGATTTTATACTTTCCTAATTGACTGCTATATTGCTGGTTATTTGTATTATTAATTAACTGTACATTATGATGTGCTAATTAAATTCTCAGTTGTTCTTTGGTTTCCTTCTGCACTACCTTTATCAAATTAATGTAACAAAACCTTTTTTTTTTACTTGGTACTTACTGTTAAACCGGTAAAACTATTCAGGAGAGGTTTACTTATTTATGAAGATTGTACTTATCCTACTTGAATTTTCATAGACATTGTTAGAATACGTTTAATTTTTCATAAAATGGTCAATAAATTTTCATTGAAAAACAATCATACTGAACTACCAGATTATTCAAAGTTTAAAGTGATGTAGGTATTAAGTGAACAGAAAGATATTTTAAGATTATTTTAAGATTCTTACACAACTGTTAGTAATCCAGTGGATTGCCGACAGTATATTGTTAAACTATTTCCCCATGTTACTGATATTAGTGCAGAATAATCGAAAAGTATAAATCAAGAGTTTAATTAAGAGCTTTAAGGATAACAAGGACGATACAAAGTTAGGACAGTTCTCGATCATTTATGTCGAGAAAAATACTGAACGCTTGCAGGTTTTTCATGCTTTCTGATTACTGACTCTTTATCCAGACAATTACTAATCAGTTGAATTTGAAAACATTGTCTGTCGACATGATTCTAGCAAACACCCAACTGAAGAACTTAACTTATCAGGGTTTTTAAAGAACTTCAGAAGAGTAGAAAAACAGATAGGGCAAGTATATTGTTACACAAATGAAAAATATTTTGTAAGGCGATAAGAATATTGTGTGTTAAATTATATTGGAGTTTGTATGACATCAATTTGTCAACTTATTGAAGAGAATATGTAGTAAATTGTTAATATAACTGTGATTGAAATAACATTGATAATAATAAATAATACTGAAGATTATGAATAATTGTCATACCGGCTTATTAATGCTTTCAAGTATTCAATTAACATTCGTTCAGCCAATTTTTCAGCTAATTTATCATATAAATTTTGTCTTGTATGCTTCAGTGTTTCGTCATAATCGGCTAATGTACCAACCAGATATTGTGTTGTCATATCATCCGGGCGTAGCCTGATTTCAATAATTTGTAGAACAATATTAATAATAGTAAACATACAAGTTAAGTGTATTGGGGGGCATGAGAAAAGAGAACAATAAGGAGAAATGAATAAAAGTGTCTCAAGTGAGAAACACACTCAACAATTTATCTGGATGGGGTAACAGAGCGTGAACGAAAATTGCTGTTCACAGGACCTTAACACTTTAAATATTGTGAATAAGAACAATATATATAAGCGAACAATATTGTTTTCAGTAAGATCCTCATCAGGCTTTACACTAATATACAATAATAATACAAACTAAAGCTACGTTTGAAGAGATTACGATTCATCTAAACCAGCGAACGGAACGAAAAACAGCAACACGACAGAAGGACAAGCTAAACTATTCACTGAGCCCCAGTCGTGAGAAGCATAACTGACACTGTTCTATGATCAGATTATTATTAAGTATACGGGATTTGTGAAGATTGTGGTATTTTTACCGTTGAAAACATGAACCGATCTTAGCTACACCATCACTGAAAACCTGGAAGCACATGGCGGCCGTTTCGCCCTAGTACGGGACACCTTAGCAATAGGCATCCACGACTCCGAAACAGAGGATTGGACCCAGAATCTTTTCTCTCGTGTCCGGCATCCAATGGTGCTAACGTCTAGATTTCCAATGACGGTTTAGCTGAGATCAGTTCACGATTTTGACGCTGAAAAACGACAATCTCCACAAATCCCCCATACTAAGAAAACCGCATGCTAACTAGCGATTAGCTTCAAGACGTAACTCCCGGAGTTGTAGTGAGAAGCCGTCATCAATTAGATCTAATCCATGTCGTGTGTAAGTTAGTTATCTATCGCAAGCAATGGATGAAGGGTTGCGCAAGATCATGGATTGATTGGAGTTAGAAGTTAACACAACTGAATGGCGGCTCAGTTGTTTGGAAGTTAAGCGTTGACGTGCGGAATCGTGGATGTGCAATGCTTAAGAGTCCCATACTAAGAATAAGCGGCCGTCCAGTGATTCCATGTTTTCAATAGTGGTTTAGCTAAGATCAATATATAATTTCAACGGAGATCAATACTTATGTGTGAGGCAATCGATGAACGAACAATAAATCGATCGAAACTGTTAGTTCACGTGACAAATGTAACCTCGGCACTGATATGTAAAAAAGAAGTAAAACCAGTTACATATTTTTTAAAATGATAATGATACATGATGATGCCTTAGTTAGTGCACCTAAATGTTAAACAATATATTTATAATTCATTTTTGTGTTGGTTGTTTGAATCTCCCCATTGATTTTTAGGACTACAAATGATCAGTCTTTTATAGGCATCCATGCATTCTGTGCGGATTGCCTCCCTATTATTTTAAGTTACAAACATTATAAAAAGACATGATAGTGGCTAGAAGTGGAATCCAGGATATGTGTGTTGTCCCATTTTGCCTACATCCCAGAGCTGACGATCATTCAGGGACTCGAACCCTAGCTAACAGGACTCAGTAGCTATGTGGATAACGTGATGGCGCTTGAAGCAAATAGTATTGGGTAAAGTATTCAATGTTAAACCACTGATATTTCTACAAGAGATATAAAACACAATTTTCGCTAACTCCATATACACATATACACTCACCATTGAGGTGTCATAATCACGCTCAGTACGCGATTTAAATCCATGAATACTGTTTCTTCAGCATAAGCTATCCTATAATAAAATATTACATATATAGAGAAATTTTGTTAAATAAGGATAAATTGTCGACTGAAGATTTATAATCATTAGATTAATCTAAGTGTTTAAAGATATTACCATACAACTAACTTCCTTTATGAATTTTAATAAAACAAGAATATATATAAAGGACCATCTGAGCAATAGACAGTCTTCGTTTCCTGTTCATTGAATTGATAAATCAAAAGATTCACTCAATCGTCTCTCAACTTAATTTAATCTACCTACTTTGGTATCTAAATCTCCTGTTACGATTCAAGCCTCATATAACAGGATAGCTTCGAACAGATGAGTTAGAATCCAATGATCTACATTTCTAGCTTTCGTTAACGCATAACACAATGTACGATATCCACCCAATGTTAACGGGATCATAACAGTTTTAATCCCGACAAAAATAGTCTTTAAATTAAACTAAATATGAATTTGAATGATCAACTACTGACTGATACCTTTCAAATATTTCATAGGATGCCAAATTTTAAAATTCACGCAAATAGTAATGATAAATGACTTGTAAGGGTTTAGTTCACAGATAAATTATATGACATTTAACATGAGTCTCACGTAGAACTTATAACAAAATTCGGCCAACGGATGAAACAACAAATATAAAATCAATACAACAAGCATTCACCATTGTTCAGCTACTTTTTCATATTCTGATTTCAAATGACTAATCCTAGCTGTCAGGTTCCCTTTAAGATGTGAATCTTCAGTCAATTCATCCATAATTACTGTGACAAAACTGTGCGCAATCATACATGCACCATTTGCATTGGCTAACTGAAACAAATATTTAAAAAAAGAAGTTAAATGATTAGAAGGAAATAACTGTTATAATGACAGTGAAGGTTAGTCTATTGAATCGTGAAGCTCGGGTAGAAAATAGCTATGTCTTTGGGTGTACATTTGAACGGAATGAGAAACGTTTCTCTAGCATTTAGCATTGCTTTTAAATAAATTATTAATAAGTATTTCACTAAAATTTTAGGACTCATTCTAACTTAATATATTGTTATCGGAAAGTTTTTATCTGTAAAGAATTCTACTGATTCAAGAAATGGCAGTCAATTACTTAAAACTAATAAAAGGTCAAAGTGTCTGAACTTTCATCTATACTGATAATATCATATTGTACTCAACATGCAATACTACTTAAAGTAATTACTATCATTATTCATTTGTATTGGTCCTGCTTCGGTCTGGGCACCCGGACAGTAACACAGCCCACACATAAATCAAGTGACTTGTGTGGAGCGTACGTATTAGGCGCTCCTTGTACAAATATTTATGTGTTCAAATAAATAGATAAATACATTTGTATTGATTGTTTGAATCTTCTCATTGATATTTAGAACTGCAATTGATCAGTTGCTTTTAAAATATATGCATCCCGTGTGGATTGTCTCGATATTGCCACCGAACTAGTTAACTTATAAGCAGGAATGGATGGTGGCTAGCATTAGAATTTAGGACTTGTGAACTGGATATACCTGTATCCCAGAGTTGATGTGCGCTACCAGAGTCGAACCCAGTTCTGTTCGCTTCAGATGTCATCGCATTATTCACTTAACTACTGAGTCTAGAAAACTACTGCCTCGTGCAATGGAGTAAGGTTTAACTGATATGTATTGATTATTTGAACCTTCCCAATGACTGCAGTTGATCAGTCTATTATTATTACTATTACTAACCACAGTTTTATAAGTTTGAAACTATTTCCATCTCATTTAAACCATTTATTATATCAAATATGACCCAGATTGACATAAGTCATTTTAGCATTTATTATTTAAAATTTTTTTCTATCTGGTAAACTGCCACTAGTACTCATACGACTATATTCCTAACGGTTCATCACCTCAAAAAGTGAAAGTACAGAAGTCCTGGAGGTATTTTAAAAATACCTGACATTTAGAAAGTGAAAAGTGCATACCTATTTTTTTTTCAAATCTACATTAATGTTATTTATGCTTAAGGTTCAGTGAGATAAACACAAACAAACAGATAAATGTTACATATAGCTTGATGCATACATGTGCGACCAATATCAACATAATTACCATGCATTTCGTATAATTAAGCATAACGATTGAAATAATAATAATAATAATAATAATAATAATAATAATAATAATAATCAGAAGGGAATTTGTGGGGATTTCAGTATATTTCAAAGTTGAAATCATGAGTCAATTGAAGCTAGATCGGTTAAGGGCTCTGGCTCGTAACTGGTAGGTCCTGAGTTCGAATCTCGCGAGTGCGGGATCGTGGGTGCGCACTGCTGAGAAGTCCCATAATAGGACGAAACGGCCGTCCAGTGCTTCCAGGTTTTCGATGGTGGTCTAGCTTCAATTGACTCATGATTTCAACTTTGAAATAATAATAATAATACAGAAACATTGGAATTATCAATGAGTACTTACAATGTATTCTATATAGCATGGGAATTTCGATCTGTCTTGTATGTAGGCTGCTCGGTACTTTTTAATATCATCTAATAACCAATGCACATGTAAGGTATACAAAAAATTATATACAACAAAATGAAATTATGTACACTGCCGTATTAAACTATGCAAATATTATCCAGTTGGTGAGTAGTATAATTTGTGAAGCAACAACACAAAAGCTATGGTGCATTATTAAGTACTAACGTCGAAGTGGTAGTTTAGTAACTACTGACAATCATTGGATTGTACACTAAAACATTTCAAATTACTTAATGCCATTTAGGAAACTGAGTAGTGTATCATTTATTATACGCTCAAGTGTGTGTAAGTGTGACAAAACCAATGACATGAACATGTATGAACTAGGTTATAGTGATTTTATCATAAAAGTTATCATTATTATATCACAGGCACTAAAACAAATAAATATAATTGCTTTCATTGTACAATAAAAATATACCTAGCCGACGGACCAATCAGATTCAAGACAGAAGCAGTTGGATCTTTGAGCGAAATTCAGAACGTATTGATGAATAGATCATATCTGGTTGAAGCTTAAGTAAAATCTACCAACATATGGTCGCTGAGACGCTTAAAGTTGATAACATGCAAAGATAAAAAAATATAGTAACTACCGTTTATGATTTTTTGAAGGTAACTCCAAAGTTCTTAATACTTAAAAACAAAAAGCTGACCACATAGGTATTCACCCATATGGCTACAATAGTCTTTACTGTAACTACGAATTCTGATCCTAACCGAAACTTCTAAAACTAGCCCAGTAATAATAACAATAATAATGAGTATTGACGATTTTCAGGGTGATTAATGTAAATCCTACAAGCTATTGCAACTTAACTGTCATAATCAAACTGTAGTTTTCTTTGAGAATTAATTCAATGTGAAACCATTCGAGAAAGAAAAATAGCTAAAACGACCCTAAAAACAGTTGATTTGTGTTTACTTACACTACAAAACATCATAAATGACTTCGACTTCAAACAAACGGAGCATTTAATTTAGCATTTCAATTATTATGAAAAAATAAATAACTTGATTTAACCTAATCTGAAGAATGAATAACATCTCTAACTGTGTCAGTGAATGGCTTATATATCCAGATACTACATGGAACATTAGTTCGCCACTTAAGGTTGAACGTAAATCTTGTTTAAAAATACCCTCTAGTACATTCACTTCATGAATAGATCAATGTTAGGCCACCATTGAAAACCTGTAAGCACTAGACGGCCGTCTTGTCCTGGCTTCAAGACAGATTTCTTGGAGTTCTAGTGAGAGTTCAGCAGTGTCTGTTGTAAGGTAGTTACTCACTGGAAACAATGATGGACAGTCGCGCAATATTGTGGATTGGTTGGATTTAGACATTAACACTGTAGGATGGCGGCTTGGTGGTTTAGAGGTTAAGCGTTGGCGTGCAAATCGCGGATGCGCACTACTGAGGAGTCCCATACTGGGACGAAACAGCCATTTAGTACTTCCACATTTTCAATGGTGGTCTAACATTGATTCATTTATGACATAAATTGAACTTTAACAATCTCCACAACCCTATACTGATAAAGTAAGAATTTACTACAGTTCGCTATCGAACAACTAACAGTAAATAAGGTAAATAAGCAAATGAACAAAATCCTTACCATCGTAATCTTTCACGAAAAGCGCCATCTCTTCAACACATTGAGTAAAAAATTGTTCTCTTACAGCGTTTCCCAGATAATGTAATAAATTACCTTTACCAATCTATACAAAATTAAGTTTAAGAAAAACAACTTGCAAATCAAGTGAAGAAGTTTTTCTTCCCAATAAGATCTTCATTGCGGCCCAGTATACAAATATCAATAAATATTACTTTAGAGTATAGAACGTTTACCCATGAACTGATATTATGAACAAATCCAATTTAGTCGAAGAAAATTACTGAACAATATTGTGGATTAAAACGCAGTTTGTTCTATATTTCAAGCTTCTGAGGGATCTGAAAGATCATCCACAATTTTAGTGAAAGACCATTAGGTGGCTATTGTGTAGGTGAGACTCAAAGATGATTAGTCGGTGTTCTAGACAGATGGGTGGATAGTCAGAAATATGCGACTTGAAATAGATACTTTCCTTGGCTCTTATATTTATCATAATATTACATAATATACGATTTGCTCGGGAATACTCGGTGTTCTCAATCGGTCTTTGGTTGAAGTGTGAGAAATAGTTCAGTGGTTGGGTTGATAGTCTCAAGAGAATACGATAAGCCTAACACAATAGGATCGGTTCCTGCCCAGACCGCTTGGACATCACAAAAGCGGCGCTTTGTTATGCTTTAGCTTGTGAAGACATGGCGCTGATATTGTAGTGATCAACATCTTTTGTTTTGAATAAGAAATGAAGTATGACTGTCTAATACTCTGTGTTACTGCAACTGTATAGCAATTGATGGCCTAAAATCTTTTCACTGACCTCAACTAATTCTGAGATAATCACAAGTAATAAAATGAGGAGACCGATAGTCGACCTGAGTTATGTCGATAGATGAAGACAAGTCAGTTGACAAATTCCCATCCCATATTACCTCCAAATGTATTTATCACTTTACATGTTTATGTTACGGCATTTACATTAGAACGGAAAACAGGGGTTCTTGTTCGCATCCAGGGGCACATTTCACAAAAAATTGGGATTAAAAGGTCAATATTCTTTTCACGCTGCCATTGCCCATCATTTTCTTGACAGCGGATAAGATGTTGATCTAAAATAAATCGACATAATTTATAGTCGGACAACTTCGAATATGCTTGGTGGCCGTGGTTACAAAAAACTGAAATTGGACCTACTTATTTAGAAGGATACGGTTGCAAGTCTTTCACTAAGTAACAAATTCTAGGTCATTTTTGAGCTTTACCAATCTTAATCTGTTAATCTATCCAGTTTTATGGCTATTATTGCGTGACTTTGATATAAAATTTTATTCTTTAGAAACATGTCTTCATATGTGTTAAAATTTTCTTCTAAAATTCTCAGTTAGTAATATATAAACATTTATCTCCTATACCAATTTAGTGTTCTATAACCGTTGGTATCATTCTGCTACTCATACTCAATATGACATAAAGTATGTACATTAGTTAGAAATAATCGATACTTTTGTTTTTAAGCTGTAAGCCGCTGAAGAGAAACCACATGAAGTAAATGAATTCATCTTATTCTGATACGCTCTTTGTTTTTGCTTAGATCAAACAGGAAATCTTGTATTTCGACATATATTCATTACAAAAGAGACACTGAATTTAAATTAGACGATTAATGTTTTTACAGTTACAGATCATGAACAATGAATAGAAATCCGTCGATTAATTGCAAAGCATATTCATACACTTTGGTAGCAATTCATTGGTTGTTGATAGTTTCCTTTTAAAAAAACATGTGAAGATTCTTGGAAACTAATGTCTAGGTGGATTTTAGTAATACCAAATTTACAAAGACGTTAGTCAATCACGACCAACGTAAAATCTGGTAAAATGTTGCCATACACCACATTAATCCAATGAGATGAATAGTAAAGAAGAAATGATAAAGACTTAACATTGAGAATATGGCTCAAGAAGAAAAGATGTAAATGTATGTGTAAAAGAATACTGGGATTGAGCACATCAAGGGAGATAAAGAGTTGTAAAATAGTGGTTGGAGGTAGTTGACAGGAGACCCTAGTTGACGCAGACTTCGTTTTATTTGGCACTCGTCAGCAAGGCATGTCTGTGATCTTGAGGAAATGGATGCTCTCTGGCGGATTCGACAATTTTTCCCCAGCTTCACGGTGAAGGGCGTTACTACTGAAATAGCCAGGCCACGGCTGACCTCCTGCAGGACTGAGGTGTATTTACAACTGACTGGTGACTAATGTCACATATGCCAGGTTAAGTCATTCGAACCCACACTATGACATTTGTTACTGATTTATAGCCATATTATGAAGATATACATAAAATTCCGTTTACTGATAGTTCCTAATACTTGTTAAGTAATAACAGCAATAATAATAGCAACTTACCATTTCATTGATAGGTGTCATGACTAATACAGGCAAATCAGTAAAATAATTAGAAGACCCATCTAATTCAGGACCGGTTGAACGTTGCCAATCCTAAATCAATTAAACATGATACGCAACACGAGTGAAAAGCCTATCAATAATGTTTTAGAGGTTAGATTCAATTTTTAATAAAATAGTTTTATTTTAAGAAAAATAGACAACAGATCGACACCACAGTTTTAACTAGACTATTTTTGATAAGTCCAAGGTCTCTCTCAGAAATAACTATAAAGTTATGCTAAATCGATTTTCTGACGAAAAAATCGAACAGATAACACAGCGAGATGAAGACTTACAACACAAATATTTATAGTTCCAAAACTTTTATGATACGGCTTTATGTATCCAAATTGAAATAATAATGCACTAGTAAATAGAATGAATAGAAACAACGTAGATAGCTTCGACTGCGTTTGTATTGTGACACATTACCGCTTAATCTAGCCGTTAAATCATTGAAAAAACAAAAAGGGCAAAAGGTCCAATCCTCATTTCAACCGACGATGATAAATGAGGAAAAACGTAGGTATTCATATATTTTATATGATATCATTGAAAACCAGTCTTTCGAAACCCGGGTTTTATGGCGTCTGATTCAACGGTGTTTGTGAGGTTAAAAACTAAAAAATGGCGATTATTGAAGAATATCCATTTTCTGACTGATTTAGATTCAGTTTTTGGAAAATAAAAGATTTTTAAGCGAACGCAAATAATCATTTGTATTAACTGTGATCAGTGTTCACTAAACTTGGTCAATAAATACAGAAAATAAACCGAAATAATAAGCTAATTTCTGAAACTAGAATGGATGAGAAAGATGAAAGTTCATAAACGACAATTACATTCAATTATGAATAAAAATACAAACAAATTAGCAATGAAAAACTTACAGAAGTATCCTTTAAGAGTGAATTTGCTAACCATGATTTAAGTCGTTCAATCGTCTTTGAAACATACCTATTGAAAAAGTGAAAAGGAAAACAATATTCAACAAGGATTATATTATCATTGGATTTGAAGTACTCGGTAGTTATAAAGCTGGATTGAATTTCGATTAATTGAAATGTGGGTATCCAGAGTGTACTGGCCCGATAGAATCATTTTATCACAAGCTCTTATAGAATAGATGGACCGTAGCTAGAAGTGGTAATCAAGACACGCGTTTCGTCCTATTTAGGACTCGTTACCTGGATGTACCTGAATCCTAGTGTTGATGGCCCCTCCTAGATTCCGATCCGGTAATTTATCTTCTAATGCCGAACTTATCTACACAGGCAATTGACGAGTCTCAGAGACAAATGTGTATCATGGATTTCACTGGCAGATATAATTCATTCATGCTATTCAACAAGGATATTCAATAAATAATTTTTCCCACAAAATTCCAAGACAGAATAAGCAGTATTAGAATAGGTGATTATCGCATAATTGGTGCATATAGCACACAATGGAAGAATTTTATACGAACTTCATGACAAATGTAAATCTTGTTCTATTGAATTAGTACCAATACAGTAGTTGTACTTAACGAAGGAAGAAATGAAATCCTACCGTCTACGATATCGAGTGTTAAGTACTGAAAGACAAACAACCTGAACAGATTTATATGAAGGTTGGATAATAGCTGTCAGTGGAATGTAGAATGCATCCCTCACATATGACACGGAAGAGACAATGAAAGATGATCACATAATCTCACGAATTGGCTGGAATTAAACTTAGATGTCAACGAATTGAGGTCCAGTTGGTTTAGTGTTAAGTGTTCGCGTGGGCGACTGAGGATGTCGGGTTCGATCCCTGTGGAACGATCGTGAATGTTTCCAGGGGTTGCTTAACTTAGATCGGTTCGTGCTCTCAATAAAGAGAACAAGAGTATTAGTGAAGTTATAGATCAATTAATTTACAATCATACTAAAAACTTACTGTCTTCGAAGTGAATTTAATTTTTCATCAGGTAACAAATTAATTGGATGTCTTAAATTCAGTCGATTAAAGTCAATATTCATAAAAGGATTTTTCATGAATTCTTCAGTACTAAAAATAAATTTTATTACGATGATAGAGATCAAAGTAACTTACTGATAAGAATTTATCCAACCAAGTAGTTGTACAATCTCCGTATCAGACAGACCCTCAAGCACTAAACTTTCAACCTGTGTGTATAGATTAAAACATAATGTATATTATTATGGTTTAAACTTACATGCATTCCGATAGCTTCATGATACATTTCAACAAATCGGTCAAATATAGCATAATCTGCTGGAAAATATGTTGGACATATATTCTGGAAAACGTAAATAAATGAACATTTACAGAATAAATATTAATAAGATATTTATGTTTTTATTACAATGATATTGTTTAGAAAAAATACCTGTAAACATTTCAATCAATATATACACGATTTATTTGAAGCGGATTGTGAAAGTTCTCTAAATTATTCGGTACTATTCGTTATAAATTGATCTTAATCGGGATAACATTTAAAGTCGTCAACACCAAACGAAATGGATAATCGTCGGGTTATAACGTGAATTATTTGAAGTTGGGATCAAATATCACAGTGGTTTTAAGTTTGGAGGTTCACTGAGATCTAAATATACTTAGTTCGACCTCTGGAGGATTCAAGGGGGTGTAAAGGTAAGGAGTTCTATTAAAGAACCAAACAGTTTTCCAGTGCTCCTGGTTTTTAATGGCACCCTAAATATTTTCAATGCTCCACTGCCTTGTGGATTAGACCTCTAGGTCAAAGGCTCGGGGTGTGGCCCCCTAAGAAAACCACCTGCTTCGGTTTGGGCACCCGGGCAGTATCACAGCCCTTTCGCAAATAAATGAAATGGAACATTCAGCTGACAATTATATTCTCGCAAATAAAAATAAAATGGAACGTATACTAGTGACATAAGTGTTTTTTTCAGCAAATAAAGGAACTAAGCGACCAGGTATGTAATTTTATTCATGAAAGCTACTGTATCGCGACGATTGGCATGGATTTTCAAGAGTGACAGCTTGGGAGTTTCTAGCTAGATTCGCCTTACCTAATCATCAAACTTAACTGTCTGTGGTTCCGCTTTGCTTCCTAAAAGTAAACTAGTCATGAGGAGATGACACTAAAAAGGTGTTTCGATGATAACACACGAAATTAAAGGGAAAATTGAAAGCATGAACTCTAATGGGATGTTATAGACAGTCGAAACACAGATACGATTAGTGTACTGTAATAAATCGGATGGGAGGTGTTTTGGGGAGAATGAGATTGGCATACCTTAGTCAGTGTGATGACTGTAGTTCATGTATTTATAAGACAAATTTGTATATGATAACAATGCTTATTCACATCCTTCAAATAATAAATGGAATGTTTGTGATAACGATTAGCATCCTTATACTCACTGAAAACAATACTTCAATAGGCATTTATGGTTGATTCATGTACATGGGTCATAATTTATGGAACCGATTAGAAATGATATTGACGTAAAACAAAGTATATAAGACTGCAAAAATCAAACTAATTTTGTAGCCAAGGTCACTAAGTTTCTGATTTCAGATTGTACAGAGAAAAGAATCACTACAGGATTGACAGATGAAATAGATATGTTCTTGCTTATATAATTATTACGTCTATTTAGGATAGAATTAGCCTTGAAATGTTCATTTTTCACATTTATAATAGAAATATGATCATATGTGTTTTATTATTCAACATAAATCAGAGTAAAGATTTATCTGGGAATTTTTTGGTGGATGTGCTATACAATCAATATCTATTTTACTATTATTTATCATAGCAATAATTACATAGATCAGATGAGATTTACATTTGGTGATATATTTTAATGTTAAATACTATATATATATATATCCTCATTTTAGAGATAGTAATTGAGTCAGGCAGTTATAAGCAACATAAAGTCTAACACATACTTGCACCGACTCAAGCTGCTATAATACAACATTAGTGCTGTGGGATGAGATTATCAAAACAAGTAATAGAGCAGCAGTAGTAGAAATAGTATCGAAAATAATAGAAAACATTAGACAGGGACAGTATGGTTTGAGAAGGAAATATAAAGGAAGATGAATCTGCACAATTTTGACCGACTTTGAGCCATATCGACCCAACACCTGCAACTACTGATCGCAGTTACTGAGAGGTCTCCAACCAAGTAGTTCTCACCTACCCAAAACTATTCAGTCCAACAGATCATGCCTTCATGGAGTAATACCACGGAAATCAGTAAATAGTAAACGCTGAATCAGAAATACACAACCAGGTTCTATGTGAAAATAATATCGCTTCAAAAATTGGCAGCATCGGGACTTGATTGGTAGAATCTAATCAGTACTAAAGACTATGTAACATGATATCAGTAATTGCTCCGTGATGAACCTATGTAAATCTGTTAGTCCTATCAAAATCTCGCAGTGTATCAGCTTCCTTGAGATTGAAGATACCCTTTTCTGACGAGTTTGAATTAATAATGGACAGAATCTAACAGACTATTTTGTAATTACAGAAAATAATCCATTATACAATACAACAAAAATGCATTTACTCACTTTTGCTATTTTCAAATCTGCTAGCGTATGCTGTCTAATGGCTTCATTGTGTCGAACTAATTTATTTTTATCATTTTCATTGTCTAGTGCGCTTCCAAACACCCTATTTATGTTAAAATAGATTTAAAATATCTGTAAAGTATCCTGTTGAAAAATGACGAAAAACTGGCAGAACATAATATTGACAATCATAGAGAGTTGACTTATCCAAAAATAACACAGCCGACTGATCATTCCATAAATCCTCAATCACGGGTGTGACCGAGTAACCAGTTGCCCAGTTGGAGACAGGGTACAAGGTCAAGATGACAAGCCAATTTATGAGGCATTAAATCCCCGTCAACTGAGGTAGTTGGGACATGTGTTACGTCATCCTCAACTACCTATATCGACGGAAGATTTTGTTTGATGCAACAGTAGGCTCGAAGAGAGCTATGGGTGACTAAACTAAAGCATGTCACTGTTCCATTAATTCAGTGGCAACCGAGCCAAGCCATATTGACAGATGTGAACCACCCGGTTGGAGTCCGTATGATTATCGTACCCAGTGGTTAGAGGCTGAATGACACGGTCCAAAATCATTTGTGATGGCGTAGATGTGTCTATTCTGTTTTTCTTTAGATTCTAAGTTTCTAGATCCCTCATAATCTTTCCTATTTCACTAATTAATATTTCCTTGAATCGTATTTCCGGTACCTAATCTTTTCTATTACCACTGATACTGTCACTATCTATACTGCTCTAAGGTTCGCCTTAACCATTTCATCTCGTTGAGCTAGTGAAGAATGGCAACATGAACCGATATGCGCACGTATTAGATTCTATGTTGCGTCCGATTAAATGGTCCAGAGTCTATTCAACAGGAAGCAACCAATGATATATCGCCTAGACCTAACTGCTGTCTGAATTCTAGGAAGTGTTTCCAATGCGGCTGCCTAGATAACTTAATAACTACACAGCTGAGGTAGTGCGGATTCGAACTTCTGAAAATATGTCCGTTTTAACAATGTCGCAGATATTTGTAAGCATTTGAATTTCCCTATTGTTGACATTTAGGACTATAGTTAACCAACCTTCATTGTTGTGTACCTTCAGTAAATTGTCTCGATAATGTCATTTAGCCACAAGTTTTAGTAAATTCGGATTGTGGATAGCGAAGGGATCCAAAACATCCATTTTTTCTTTTCTGAGATTTTGGCCGGATGCACCTGGATCAGAGTGTGAACGTTGTTACCAAAATGTGAATCTAAGCAATCATGCCAAAACACACATTCAATGAGGCCATATAACGATAGAGGTTTGTAAAATTCAGCTCAGAACCTCACAACAGGTGAGTATATAATCTCAAAAAATAAATAAGAATCGCCAAACAAGTAATACAGGCTACTATAACTTAATACTCTGATGCAAAACATCTGAGTATTTAAGGTGAATTGGTACTGAGTCCAGGTGCTTACGGCCGATGAGATTCTAACAAGATTAAATGTGCATTTTGGATTTAAATGTTAGCAAATAATGCCCCCAAATGCCCTGGTACGGCCGAGAGTGGGGAGAGTCATCTCTCTCGAAATGCTTTCACATGGCCACGCATATATAGTCTCTGACAGGGAAGTCCTACTCACTGCCTTCTCGCGGCGGGGGTGTTGTTTACGAAAGTGAGAGAACGAAAAGCGAATGTCCGGCGCTTTAACCGGGTTGGTGGACACGGAAAGTTCAACTAGGGGAGTTTGAAAACCCTGATTCTAAACCAATGGTGCACATGGGCTCCAGCATCCTGAAAGAACAAATGGCGTACGAACCAATTGTTGGTCACCAGCTACCATGGGACTGCATCTCCTCACGATGCTCCACTGCCTTGTGGGTTAGACCTTTAAGTCAAAGGCTCCGAGTGTGGCCCCCTAAGAAAACCACCTGCTTCAATTTGGGCACCTGGGCAGTATCACAGCCCTCATACAAATTAAATGAGATTTGTGTGGTGCATATGTATCTGAACAACGGATGGTATACTTGCGCACTGAACTATTCATAATACAAATCAACCGGTGAAAACACTGGGTGCAATGCTGGAGTAAATATTAAAGTGGTCTATATTCTAACAGATTGATCAATTCAGTCATTAAAAGTGATAGTAATGAAAATTGATGAATTTATCAAAACCCCATGAAATTAATTTAACCCACTTATTTTTTATAGCACTAAATATACTGTCGAATAACACTTTTTTCCATTGTTTTGGTCGTCCATCTGGCATAAAACCATGTTTCTCTGATCGTTTCCGCCAATTAGCATCAGTTCTAATTATGTAAAACAAGATGAATACCGATACTTTATATCAGAAACGTTTCGATGAAATTTGAGTATTATATGTGGATGTAAGTTAATACTAAACAAAAGGATTGGGAAAGAAATAAAAATAAACTTTTTAAGTGGTTATTCATTTATACTTTAAATGTATGAATATTCTAGAAGAGAACACTGTCGAGCATAAAAACAATTTTCAGAAATCGAAGATTACGACATAGTTTATGTAGTAACTAAGAATAAAAATGACTAGTTCAGAAAAGCTCAGGCAGAAAGTGAAAAGGAAAAGAATTATGATTACGGTTGTGGGAAAAGTAATATGTATAAAACTCTAGATACTGTAGTTACCAAGGCGAAGCAAGATTAAAGTATCTCTTTGAATACGTAAATTTGGTTTTCGTTTTAGCAACAGCTTCAGTAAAGCGTAACGAATTTTGAATCCTTTGTTTATTGATTGTTTTGAAACGCCATCATACTTGATGTCAGGCGAATAATGAGGAATTACACTGTTGATAATATGCTGTTCTTTTGGTCTCTCAGCTTTTGTGGAACATTTCGAAGACGTGAATACGCTAAACCTTTCTGTTCCTCCAGTGTATGTGCTTCAACAAATACGTGTTAACTGGTAGATACAATTGGATACTTTAGTGAGCTAGGATCGTTGTCTAAACTTATAGATTGGAAAAACTGTACGCAACGTCAGCTTTATTATATTATATTTAAAAAGACGACATACATTTACGAAACGGTCAAGATCAACTTAATATATGTAATATTTATTAGAAGCACGAGGTAGAAAGATCATAACAAAATTGTCATTGCATGTCATTTATAAGCAAATCTGATATTCTATCTGGTTTTGCATTATACCGCTTATGTACTTTGAAACATCCCTCTAATTAGCAGTTAACAGGTGGGAATTCCACTGCGTTTACTTTAGTTTGAACTACGGGTAGTACTGTCAGCGCACAGATTGCATGACTCAAAGCTGAGTATTTACATTTGAATAAGGTAGAAGATTTACGTCGTATTGAGCCCGTATTTAAACAGTTACAAACGTGGTTGAATGCTTAACCTCGATTAAAATTTATTTAGACAGACTTATTTTAAACTGTTCGGTTTTTTCTAATGTCAGTCTGAATATGAGTGTGCAACTGATTTGATTAGCAAACTGGATTTTTGAAGATCAGGTCGCGTTATACGATATGACCATATATCAAAAAATACTGGTGGTCAAAGTAAATTAAACACACTAATAAGGAACCAAGATAAACTCGAACAATTACCTTTCTTCACGATCAATAACACGTACACAATTAACAACAAAGCGATTGTGAGTAATTACTGCACTAGTTAAACGTGACCCAAGAACAATTATTTTATGTCTAAACATATCATTTAAATTTTCAAGCTCACGGAAAAAGGCGCGCAATGTCTACAGAATGGATAAAGGAGAATTAAAGCAATCGAAAATTAAGACACATACATCTAAATCTTCCATAGACTTTTGTCGATACACTTCAAACATCAGTTCATCTCGAATCCCTTCCAAATCCTGCATTCTGAATGGGAAGAAAAGAATTAAGAGGAAAGGGACTTACAGTTTATGACCTTCTAAGAGATTTTCTGATTCCAGATAAGTTCGAGCCTGTTCAAATGTTTCAGGTGCCTTCACGAGATAACTCATATTTTCCATAGCAGCACCAAGCTACATAATTGTTTAATAGTAGCAAAAGAACACTCACTTGACTGTATTTAGTTGAAAGATTTTTTAACTCATGCAACTGCTGTGATAAGCCGGACAAACCAGACAATGAAGAGCCCAGTTGGATGAGTCTAGATCATAATAAGAAAAGTAAAATCTACCTGTTTCTACACGTTTGTGACTCAGCGAGGGCAGTATCCAGTTTTTCCAAGCCGACTTTACTGCCGTCTAACTGACTATATAAAGCCATTTTTAACTGAGCTTCTGTGGCAGTCTGTACAAAATGGATATTTGAATGTAATGACAGTATAACTAACCTTTTGATTTAGAAATCTAGATTTAATAATATCTATCTTATCCAGTTGTTCTGGCTTCTGGAAAGAGATTAAGTAATCAGATGCAAACAAACTAACTTGAAAATGATCAGAAACTCTTTTGAGTGCACTTGCACGAGCTTTTTCCTCTAATTCAGATAACTGAAAAGATTGGACACTCATATCTACACTGAGGAGTCAGGATAAATATTTAGAAAATATCGTATCAAATCTTTGAATGCGTTGTTTTCAAAAGCCAAGTTTATTAAATTTATTTACAAAAATTCAAGTTTCGAGTGAAGTCAATCAAAAATGGCAAACCATAAATCCTAAAAATGAGGCATTATACACTTGTCTTTTTAAGGTGCAAATCAAACGTTGTTCGACCACAAACTTTCATTGACTTGATGAACTGGTTTCCGTTGCAGTAGGCTCCAACAACCATTTTTATGCTCAAAACGTTCGACAAAACGTCGTTTTCATATAAGAAAGTTTGCAAACATGTATCCTACATCTTTAATATTTCTGTGCAAGCATTCAAAGTTCTGGTACAGATATACTGGGAGTAACGGTGAGGAACAAAAGGCAGTTCCACTAATATTAGACTAACTGTACTGTTGCCACATTTTAATAGGAGGATCGACTCCCAAATTCTGTTAAGCAGGTCGCAAACGTCTAGATATAAGATAAACGATAAAGATTTGACGTATTCGTTTGATGTTTCTTCTAATGAAATTTAGGCGGTTGTATGTTACAGTAAGAACCATGCAAGCGACAACTAAGCTTCGTAAATAAGAGGTACTGAGACAAGCTGATGTCATTTGTTGTGGCCTTGTTAAAACTTGAAACGATGCAGCAAGCACAGTGAGTAATGAACGACTACAGAGAAAAGACACGGAGTGATGTTAGATAATTTACAAATTAATAAACGCTGAACTATATGATACAGTTACGAGAGATTTTACAAATGTGGCCTACAACTAATTATTTAGGTGATGTATCCAAACATTTTTATATCTCATTATCCAGAAGCTGATCTAAGATGAGACCGCCTGATGTTTCTAGGATTCATAAAAGTTTAGCGAACTTTATATTGAACAACAACTGGTAAAAATAGAACTTCGGATCGAATAGACAAAAAATCGATCCATGGAACTTTTTGAACTCTGAACGTAGAAAAACTAGCCTTTGTTCACTGCGTGATCAGCTGTATGGCTACGGACTACAGATAATCTCTACGAGTAACGCAAAAACGGTATTTTGCGCTATCCTGCCGAATATATATTCAATATTATTGTCACAGACGTAAAAACCTACTGACTTCTTTGTTCTCTCCCTCCCTAATGTTTTAATACGAGATCATGTCTTTAATTTTATCCAAAAAAAAGTTCAGACGTCCAACTACACTAGTTCTAGTGACTTTGGGAAATAATCGGAGATTGGTACCTTTAATTTGAGTGAGTTAAATTGATTCGAAGAAACAGTGTTTTTGGATATTTTAGCGGTAAATAAACCCCGAAATCATTAGCTCTGTAGGTGTTCGATATTGGATGTTGACCACATTAGTTTTAATGGACTCGTCTAGCCGAAGGCTCTCGGTCATGCATCCGCATCAGATCACGAGTGGGAATGCCGTGCTCAACTTCTCCTAAGATCACCAGCCAGTTTAGATCAGTCAATCCTCGATATATTGATAGTCTATTAACCAACATCCTTGCTCCTGACTATTGATTTCACTGGGTGGGCACGATTCAATTATAAAAGTTGTTGTTAGGACAGTGTTGTCAAGCTACAACACCTGTAGCATCCTTAGTGGTGAGCTCAACGTGATCTGATACACCAACCCATAAACTGTGAGTCTCTTCCTTATTGGAATTTCACAAATCATTGCTTCATTTTAATTTCTATATACTTTTACTTTACTTACGCCTGTTACCTCTCGTGGATGAACATAGGCCGCACACCAGCATTCTCCACCAAACCCTGTCCTGAGCAATCCTTTCCAGTTCTTTCCAGGTAACATTCATCGTTTACATATCTGCTTCTATTTCCCGGCGTAATGTGTTCTTTGGCTTTCCTCTTTTCTGCTTCCCTTTTGAATTCCAAGTTCGGGATTGCCTCGTGATGCAATTCGGGGATTTCCTCAATGTATGTCCTATCCACTTCCAACGTATTTTACTAATTTCATCTTCGGCTGGAAGTTGGTTTGTCCTCTTCCATAAAGCGCTGTTGCTGATGGTATCCTGTCAGTGAATGTTGAGTATTTTGCGAAGACAACTGTTTATAAACACTTGTCCGTCGTATGAGTTTTGGACAATGTTGACATTCTTCTCAGGAATTACATGGCATCGAAGAAGTTTCCATAATATTCTCTTGTCCACACTGTGAAGCACCTTCTCAAAGTCAACAAAGTTGATGTATAGTGACGAATTCCACTCAACAGATTGTTCCACGATGATCCGTAGTGTCACAATTAGGTCTGTGCACGATCTATCCTTGCGGGATCCAACCTGTTGATCTTGAAGTCGAGCGTCTACTGCGTCTTTCATCCGGTTCAGTAACACTCTGCTGGAAACTGTTCCTGGCACTGACAACAAACTGATGCCTTTGTAATTCTCATATTTGCTGAGATCTTTCTTTGGTATCTTGATGAGGTGTCCTTCTTTCCAGTACGTTTGCACTTCCTCCCCCATCCAAATCTTCTTAAATAGAAAATGAAGCAATTTTGCTGTTACTTCAATGCCTGACTTCACTGCTTCATTCGGTATATTGTCATGTTCTACAGCTTCCCCGCTCTTGATTTGTCTGATGGCCATCTTGATTTCTTCGATCGTTGGTGCGGTGACATCTATAGGAAGGTCTGTGTGTTGCATCGATGCCTAGTGCATTTAATAGGGCTGGTCTATTCAGCAGTTCCTCTAAGAATTTTGCCCATCTTTTCCTCTGTTCTTGAATCTCCGTGATTGTCTTTCTTTCTTTGTCCTTGGCTGGTCTCTCCGGTTTGCTATACCTCCCAGCTAGTTTCTTTGTCGTATCATATACTTGTTTCATACTCCCTTCTCCCCCAGATTTTCTCACTGTCGTTGCTATTTCACCCATGTATTTCTGCCTATCGGTTTTTTTCAAGTTTTCGGATATTCTTTTTTTCCTCGTTCATTGTTGTACTTATTACTTTACCGTGACGGAACAGACACACAAGGTGCTTAAGTTAAAGACTATGTCCCTACGTGCATTTCAACTAATACCCTTCTGACCAAACAACATCGAAGTCTGGTTCTGTTACACAGAAGCCTACTTATACGAGCACGGCATGACTGATTCACGCAAACAATTCTTCACGGTAGTAAAGGCACTACCGTGCGAGTTTAACAGGTTCGTCACACCTAGCATGTTTACTGGCGATGTTCCAGAACCTTACGAAGCTTTAAAACGGTCTATTTCGAAACGCAGAGATCTAACCGATCAACTTTTTAATATTATCGATCTGCAACATGGTTCTGAGACAGACATGTTGCTAAAAGAATGAGAGTGGTTATCGGCCAAACAACTTTCGATTATTGCCTATTCAAACAACTTTTCTTATCCAAACATCGCCAGCAGGTGCAAGCTATGCTGGTTTCCACGGGTGGCAAGTGAAAAGTCAATCGGCACATATATTAAAGGGTACGTTTACCTTAAAGTGGGCTTACGCAAACCAATTCACTGGAGTTGCAGATGATTCTATACCTCCTACAGCACCACAATCCACCCATCGATATGCGCAAACGGAAGCCATCTGTAATCGCGAAAGCACGACGACTGGCTCCCGTAAAGCTGAGGTTGGCCGAAAACGAATTCGGCCACATGATAGGATTAGGAATCATTCGACCGTCAAACAGTCTATGGGCATCTCCCTTTCATATGGTCCCTAAAATAGACTGCAACGATTGGCGACCAGCGGGTGATTATTGGCGTTTGAATGCGAAAACCATTCTTGATCATTATCCGTTGCTTCACATTCACGAATTAGCAGCTACTTTGAAAGGTACAACTGTCTTATCGAAAATCGTCTTAGTTAGAGCCTGTAACCAAGCCCTTATTGTTACTGACAATATTCCGAAAACCACTATCATCACTTTATTCGCACTTTACGAAGTTTTGTGAATGCGTTTCGGCCTAAGAAATGCTACACAGACTTTCCAAAGGTTCAGAGATTACGTTTTTTGAAATCTCAACTTCGTACACGCGTATGTTGATGACTGCTTGATAGCATGTCTGGACAGAGAATATCATCTCCAGCATTTGGATATTGTGTTCGAACGACTGCAAAGGCATTACATCACTGGAAACTTTCAGAAATGCCAAATAGGAACCGACTACTTAGATTTCCTAGAACACATTAATGATTTTCTAGGCATCCGATCTCTTAGAAATAAAGTGGAGGTCATTCTGCACTACTCAAAACCGACCATCACTAAGCAATTGCGCATATTTGACGGCCTAGTAAGCTTCTATAGATGGTTCATACTGAAATGCGCGTCTATCATGAAACCGCCAATCGACCAACTTCGTGCAAGTAAGAAATCCATCAATTTGGACGACACGACAAATGTTTATCAAGCTACTGATTTACAAGCGCTAGTTTCTACTGACCAGCTTTGAATAATGTTGAAATTAATATGAGTAAATTCAAAATGCCCGTGTTCCTCAAATATCTGTAATAATAGCCATCAATAATCTTAACACTTATATATATTTTAAGCGAATAATTGTCTTGGTTAATTGCTATTAACTTACATTTCCGTCGGATTTATTACAGACTTTTATCCATCACGATTTGTGGCCACTTGAGATTAGTTTTCAAATTTACATAACTTGACAAATAATATTTTGAAAAAAAACTCTACAACAATTGTTTAAAAGTAGAAAACAACGGAAAAAAGACCAGCGAACAAACAATATTAATTGTAGAAATGACAAAAGTGATATAAAAGTCAAGAGCAAGTGTTGCACTACTACTTCGTTGCTATTATTATTATTATTATTATTATTATCATTGCTTTTTATACAAATGTACAGCCTACTGGTTTCAGTAGTATGTAGGAAGATGATAGTAACTCAATTGTTAAGAAGAAATACACAGAAGAAAAATAGCAATGTAGAAAAATGAATATACCACACAATCAAATATTTATAGGAATGTTCAAGAGAAATATATCCCCATTATTGATAGGTAGTGGTTTATCATTTAATACGATTTTCATAAACAGTTGTATATAAAGAGTTTGCATCAGCTGCAATTGCATAAGCTAAACTCATTAAATGTCGTCGATATTCTTCTAGTAGTGGACCTCGATTATTTTGTAATTTAGCACTTTTTGTAGTTGTTATGAGGGAATACATTGAAGAATTTAATTGACGTTCAGCTAAAAGAATCTAGAAGTTTAGAAATTAAGCAATAAGGTTTTTTTATTTGAATAAAGAAAATGATTCTCGAAATATTTCATTAACTTAGAGATACATATGAAAATGATTCCTACAGATGAGCCTATCCTCGTAGTACTATCGGTTTTAAAAAAGTGTAGTTTCATGACAAGTGTTAATTAACATTGTTATATTTGTGAACTCCAATCTTATGATGATGAAAAATGTACTTGAGTATAATTAATTTCAGTTCTTTACTGGTACATTTGCAGGGAACGAATACTTGATGGGAATAACCAATTTATTGTTTAACGGAAAATTACAGAATGTCTTGGTAAAATATGAAAACTGTACACTAAATACATCTTTTGCATATCTTTCATCAGTTGTCTCTTATAAACATCATGATTCTTTCAAATATGTTGTTAATACAATTAATATCTGTTTCCATTTCCGTTCTCTTCAATTGAATCTTCATAACCTCCCGCTAACATGGATTCTACTTCTAATTGGTGCTACATAGTGCTTATGTCCGTCAACACTAGTAGCATACAACACACCTCCACTAATTTCATCATGGAAGTCAACAATTGCATTAGTTAGATTTATGAATGGTTGTGATCAGTAATATTCAAGATCCTACCAATGACGAATTCAAATACTTGAATCGTCATTTATTTCAAAAATTATCAGGGTTTGTGTTCTTGCTTCTCGCTCAAATATATGTCAAATAAGTATAATTGTTGACTAAATTGAAGCTTTAATCTGACCAGAAAATAACTTGTATTAAAGTGAATAATTAAGGTGTAGATGAGTGCTTAGCATCAAAATATGGCATGACTGTGCTAAGATTTCCCAAAGCTGTCTAGTCAATAAATAAGTGTCATTCACGATTCTGTTTAGTCGGAACTAACGACAATTTATGCTTTATGGAATTTCTTCTATGGATAGACTTTTAGATTTTGGTAACTGATGATTTTTACTGAATAATTTATTTGCTTATTTGTTTCTTCAAATAATGAGTTGTTGAGGCTTTATATTTGACAGGCCTTTTGATATATATATATATATATATATATATATATATATATATATATATATAAGCAGAGATGGTTGGTGGCTAGCAGTGGAATCCAGGACGCTCGTTTCGTCCCAGTTTGGACTCGTCAACTGGATGTACCTACATCTTAGAGTTGATACTCATTCCAGGACTCTAATCCAGTACTGTTCGCTTCA